TAACACATGAATGAGCTAACACTCATAGTTTTTGTTATGTCCTGTCAAGTCATCTTCAGCCTAAGGTAACCCTATGAATGAAAGTTCCCCAAGATGTCCTTCCTATCAAGGCTGTGGCTTCCCTTAGGGAGTCAATCCATCTCATATTTGGCCTTCACTTTCGTCTTCTGTCTTTGACTTTCCCTAAGATCATTATCTTCTCCAGTGAGTCTTGCCTTCTCATAAGTTTATTTAAATTGCTTCAGGCATGTATGCAAGTTTACATGGATGAGGCCTTTTCTCATAGCCAATGGACTTTGATTTGAAGGCACAATAGAATGCTATAATAAGAAGTGTCTAATGTGGAAGAGAAGACTTCCACCTACCTAGAAATGACTGGCTAATATTGATCTTAAATGGAATGAAAACATGGTCTAGGCTAAGGGTGAGGAACCTTTGGCCCTCCAGATGTTTTGGCCTCCAGCTTACACAAACCTTACTATTGGCTGTCCTGGTGAAAGGTAATAGGAGTTATAGGCCAAAACATCTGGAGGGTCACAAGTTGCCTATTCCCCATCTAGAACTTGAGCTTTGTGGGAGAATGAGACAAGCTTGCAATAAAGCTAATCTTATGTTTATTTCTTTTGTGCACTTAACACAATGTAGTCATAGTTGTACTCAATTATGAAGTATTTTGATTTTAAAACAATAAAATGGGTAGTAGACAATGTAATATGCCTCTTTTTAAATATATGTCCATCACATATTCCCCAGTAAAAAAAAATGACTGAGATTTTTCTCTTTTCCCATATAGGCATAAATCCAGTGCAACTGACGATTCTCCTGCTATCAGTGTTGATATCACTAGCTTTCTGCTGCTTTATTATTTTTCGTGTTTATCGTTGCACCAAATATGCCTTCTTTCCCTCATATTCTTTGCCACAGCATTTCAAGGAGGTTTGTCTTTACATCTTTTGTAAATATAGACCATTCTCTTCTGCTATATAACAGTTACCAAAGAATATGTGATTTATATACAAGCCTTTTACTAAATGTAAGTAAAGCTTAAACAATAGCAATGAGTAATGCTCATAACCAATACAGATCTTGATAAACGTAATGTTACCCAATCTACTTCTGGTGGTCTGAAGATAAATGAAAACATCTAGTGTAAACCTCTGTGGCTTACTTGTTCTATCTAAAATCAGTTTTCACTTTTAAAAGAAGTCATAGAAAAATGGATACAATGTGTCAGAATTACCATTATCTCACCAAATTGTTCTGTGTAAGCACAAATGATTTGGATTATGACACATTGAACACAGTTCATTTGGACTATGTGCCCCCTTTGAAGGCTAATAGAAGAGTGGGATTTAAAGTTAGGATCATTTGTACCCCATGATAATTCTTTTCTATGGATGCTTAATAAATCTCAATAATTGTGCCTTACGAAGGGTCACCATGATGCAGTTTGAGAATTTTCCCATGGTGATAATATCCAATGAATGTGTCTTATAATGCAATTTCTGTGGTTTTAGGGCTAGGGTGGGGGGGACTATGTTGTAGGGTAGGGGGTTTAATGAAAATTGAAATTTTTAGCATTCTAAGGTACAATTAGTTATCCAGTTCAATCTTGCAGTGTTCTGGTACAGCCAAACAACAGAGGATTTGCATGTTTGTGTGCCTTACGAAGGGTCACCATGATGCAGTTTGAGAATTTTCCCATGGTGATAATATCCAATGAATGTGTCTTATAATGCAATTTCTGTGGTTTTAGGGCTAGGGTGGGGGGGACTATGTTGTAGGGTAGGGGGTTTAATGAAAATTGAAATTTTTAGCATTCTAAGGTACAATTAGTTATCCAGTTCAATCTTGCAGTGTTCTGGTACAGCCAAACAACAGAGGATTTGCATGTTTGCTTTACAGTGTCTTTTAAAAGGACCTGGAATTCATAGAAACATAGAGTTACATTTTTATTTATCTGTTTTCTTCCCCACAGTTTTTAAGCAAACCATCTTACAGTTCACAGTTTCTTTCATCCCATTCACAAGGAGAAGATCATGACTACGACAAAATTATTGTACTTTCAGAAGAGTTAAGAGATGGAAATAATGTATCTGAAGAGCAACTGAGCGATACAAAGGACCAGTTTCAAAAATCTCAAGAAAATGCCTCTAGGCCAAAAGTTGTTCCTGACTGTATGCTTTTGGAATACCCCTAAAACTGGAAGGAATAATATACTTCACTCTTAGGTGCTTCTAAAGCACTTTACATTTTGCACATTACAGATATCAAAACTTATCTGTATGAACAGTTATATATTCTACTGTAAGAAACTTGTTTGTACAGTTTTTCTATTTTAAGTGTTTATTTATAAATATACCAAAGCTTTACTTGGAACGACATGCAGACAAAGTAACGAATAAGAAATTTCCATTCAAATGACAGTAAAATGTCAAAGAACATAAGCATATACATAGTCACAAAGTTTGATGCAGAAACAGATATCCATGTAAGCAGACTTCTGTGAAGATATCACTTGTTGGATCAAGAACCATCAGTGTATATTTGAAATGCATTTGGTGCAGATGGTGTATACCTGCACAGCTTTGCCTTCAATGTGATCTGACAGACTTCCCAACAATACATACACAAGGTTGTGCAGAGGTTTATCCAAGCTGGAAAGGCCCACCAGGACCTGGGAAGAGGAAGAACTGAATCTACCTGCTAGTTCTTCTCATCCTGCCACTGAAGAGTAGATTCATGCTATTACTGTTGAATAAATAAGACTTAGCACCTGGGCTGAGATTTCAGCCTGGGGAAACTTAAACAACAGCCTTCTGCTAACTGAACATGTAGCTGAAGTCAATAGGGACTACCTAAGTTACTCATGGCTAATGTGCAATACTATGCATGTTTAGATACCAGGGAAATGTTGGGAGTTGCAGGATTCTTTTCACCCCAACATGCATAGGATTGCTTCCTAAATCTCATTTCAGTAGAACTTCAGCCTTGGAGCAGGGGTCTCAAACTCGCGGCCCGCGGGCCAATTGCCAGGATGGGCGGGGCACAGGGGAGGGGCCCTGCGGCCTTCAAAGCGCCGGCAGCACCGGGCCGGCCGCGGGATGAGCGGCCCACCACCACCACGGTCCGCGGTCAATACTTGATGCGGCCCAGCCTCACCCAGACTCCACTTCCAGCGGCCCCCAGGTAAGTTGAGTTTGAGACCCCTGGTTTAGAGCTTTCAGTTGACCCCAACAAGATAGTTCAAACATTGCATGTGAATCCATCAAGTTCTATTATACTATAAACTACATTTGAGCTGCTGAAATGGAAGCATGGGGGAAATTAGCTACCATGCATTGGCAGCCATTTTCCTTGCTTTATCATCCTAGCAGGCAAAGTTTACAGAGCTCTGCCAGGAGAATTATCTTGAGATCAGGGAGCAGTTGTTCAGATAGCAGGCACAGAAATAGTGCAGGAGTATATTTTTGATTGCAGGCTATCAATAGGTCATAGAGGAGCTGGAAGGATGAATGAACATTTTGTATGAAGGGTATTGTTAAGCAAAAAGCAGCGAAAATACTTCTCAAGTTAAATAACCAAGACTACCATTGGAATGAGGCGAGTCCTTCGTTGATTGCAATAGACGGGGAGAGCCTGCTCTATCAGAATCCCTCCAAAGCACAAACACACAAATCATCTCCTTTTGTACCCTAACTCGGCCGCCATAGGCCTCCCCAATTCCCTCACTGGATGAGGTACTAAGGGGGTACAGTCTTTCCATCCGCCTACTTCATATCCCATCTTATCCCACTACATACATCCTCATACACCACATGTGCATTATAATTAGCCCATTGTCTATTCGAGGTGAGTGAGATAATATTCATCAACCTATTACACCTGCGTGTTCGTAACTACAGGTTCACTAGTTCGCCCCTTTCTGGCTTCACCTTGCCCTATGACCCCCTGTCTCATAAAACTACTGGGAGTATGAGATGGAAGGCAGCCTTTCTTCAACCCAATTTTCTTTTTTCTCCCACATTCCTTGAGACGCTTCATGGCTTGGTTGTTTGTTTCACTGTTTCTCAGTCACTGAGTTACTTCCTTCAGTATTTATGCAATAATTTCAACTGTTTCCGAAGTTTGTTGTGTTTACATTAAAGCTGTCTTTAGTTTTTGACTGATTCACTCTGATGGGTTTTATTACTTATTGTAGACTGAAAGAAGGGTTTTTGAATGAAATCTTAAAATCCACTAAAATCAAGGGAGATTATGTCCTTTACAATGGGATGAAAACTGAGGCTGCTTGATTCTACTTATGTTGATTATAGTGTTTGCATAATTACTTTTGAGAAACCTAGTGTTCCACATAACTTATTGCAGTAATAACAATTGTTTGATTCATAATTCTAGGGAAAACATTTATTTGTTGGAACATATCTAACCATCCTATACCAATGTCACTTCCTGTTTCTCCTTACAGAAGCTTCTCTTGGATCAAAGAAACATCTGTCAGCAGAGGATACAACCCAATTTATTTTTATTTTTTAAATTATTTTTAATAAAGCCAGACATTTTCCTGCCATTGTTTAGTATTGCAAGATAAAGGCAAAATAGAAATTCCTGCACTGTTGAGAAAGTGGAGTGGAAACAAGTTACAAAATGCTTGTTATAGTCAGTCTGAAACAAGTTACAAAATGCTAGTTACTGTAAGTCTAACAATTTGTTGCAGCAACAAGTACCGCATGTTGATGCCATGCTGTTGTTGTAAACCAGCCAGGGAGCTTCAGGTATCGGGCAGCATAGAAATCCATCGAATAACTAAAAAGTGAGCACTTGCAAAATGGAACAATTCAACAGAAGTCCACCATTTGAATTTATGGGAAGATATTGTTGGATACTGCCCTGTGAGTGCAGAAAGCAGTAGATGATGCATGGCTATTGTGGAGTAAGTAATGGAAAACCATTTTTTTAATGCAGAACTGACTAAAAAGTATGTGATCCACATGTATGTGCCCCAGCTTTCATCACAGTGGAAATCCTACTCGTGCTTTTGTTGACATCAAAGTAAGCATTTATCACTAGCATCCATATGTGAGAGATTTCCAGGATCTCATGGTATTTTTTCTGGAAGCAAGAAACAGAAGCAGATGCTAGTATCTTCCTAGAACAGTGCTCATTTCATTTTCTCTAGACTTTCACATTCACTATGAACCATTTGTCTCATTTCTATTTCCTGTGCAGTGTATAGAAATAATTTATGATACAGATTTCACATTACTCACATGTAGCAATTATTTTAAAGTAAACAGCTTTTAAAGTAAAGAGCTTCTGCAGAAAAAATGGGCTTCCTTGAGCAGACACTGAGGGAATTATGTTCTAATGGTACTCCAAAAAGGAATGTTTGTTCTGCCTATAAAATGTACTATATGGGTCTAGCCAAAAGGTCATGAAGGAAGCACAGAAAAAAATACTGTGACGAGGGCAAGCTGACACATGAGCAAGCACCTCTGTTTCTGGATGTCCTGTACTGCATTCCCTTTTCATCAAGCCATTTTGATTTTGAGAAGACCATCATGGGCCAATACTGATAGTTTTAGTTTGGATCAGAGAGCTTTAGTCATTTTCTTACTTGCAGGCAAGCCAAACCCCATTGTGTTGATCCTACTGTTTGCAGGGAAATGTTCTTTGTTGGTTTTGACTTGTTGAGAAGCAAAACATTCCTCTCTTGGATGTGCACTTTAATGTGGTAAAGGAGTTGGAGAGTGCTAGAGAAGCCAAGAGCAGTGCTGCCAGGAGGCCAGGCTTTTTCACTAGGTTGGTCTCCTAGCAGGGTTACCCAAGTGGGGAGCTGTCAAAGGTGAGACACAGGCTAAGATGCATCCACCCTCTTCAGGAATAACAATTATATCAGCAGAAGAGAATGAATAGTGGTATTGGTGATGGGAGTGGAGAAACTCTTGCGAGGCAGCTACTGGGCAGCAGTAGTAGGTGAAGGCAACACTGATGGAGGATCTTGCACAGACGACAGCAGTGACTCTCAAGCTAAGTCAGGAGCTGGGTTTCCCCCTTCATGCATTCAAACCTAGAGACTGCTCCTTGACAAAAGCTCTTCATTCTCAGCATTCATCCAGTAAGCACAATTACCACAGAATGAGTCTCTGAGCATGCACAGAGCAGTTTTTGAACGCAATCCAGGAACTACTGCTGAGAACCCTCCTTTTAAGTAACCCTGGGTATTTTGGAGATGGACAAGCCTCTGATCTGTACACCACCCCATCCTTCCCATCTGAAGGGTCTAAATCTTCCTGACCTTGAAACTTGTGCCATGCACAACTGCCTTTTTCATTCCCAGCACTCTGGTTAGTACTACACAGAAGACAACAATGGTAAACCATTTATGGATATTTTTACCTTGTAAAGCCTATGATGAAAAAATACAATATTTATTTATTTATTTATTTATTAAAACATTTTTATGAAAGAAGAGATAGGGCTAGAAGGTGAAATGCCCAGGTTGGAAGGCATTCAACCAGCTATTAGGGATGTGCAAAGGACAAGTATCAGTAGCTCTGTGACTGAAGACACAACTCGATCAAAGACAATAGGAAGTCTAGTTGCTGACATGTACAGAGGTGAAAAGTAAGTCCAATTTTGCACAATACCTACAACTGGAACACAGAATATGGGAAGTATGAATCAAGGCAAAGGGGAAACCATAAAGCATGAATTGGAATATTTAAACATCACAGTACTTGGTGTGTGAGAGAAAAGTGGGCCTTGTTTTCAAGTCACACAAACACACAGTATTTTACTCTGGAAATTACAAACTCAGAAGAAATAGAGTGTTCTAATATTGAGGCAAATTGTAGCACAAGTAGTAAAGGGTATAATGCAAAATCTGACTGAATCATATCTATCAGAATCTGTAGGAAACCTATCAACATAAACATAATGTAAGACTCTGCTCCAATAGTAAATGCCAAAGAAGAAGAAATCAAAAACTTCTTTGCAAGCACCCAGAAGGAGACTGATAACAGCAAAACAAGACATGCTGATTTTAGGTGTCTAGCATGAAAAAGCAGAAACAAAGCACAATCCAGTGATGTGGGAGAATTTAGCAGGAGATTTGACTTGCAGAATTTTGTGAAGTCAACAATTTGTTTATCACAAATACATACTTCAGTCAACCATTCAAAGGGACCCTGCAGCCAAGAAATTAAAAGAAGACTTGGAAGGGCAGCAAGAAAGGAATTAGAAACATTGATCACACGTTACAGAGTTTCCCCGGATACTAAGACCAAGATCATCCACACTATTCTATTCCTAATCACTACAAATGGACGTGAAATTTGAACAGTGAAGAAAGCTGGCAGAAAGAAAATTGATGCTAGATGAAAACTTTGTGAATATCCTGGACAGAAAAGATGAACAAATGAGACATAGATCAAATCAAGCCAGAAATTTCCCTGGAAGCAAAACATGATAAAACTGAAGGCTGATGAACTTCAGGCATTTATTCATTCATTCAATTTATATCCCACTTTTTTCTTACAACAAACTCAAAGTGGCTTACATCATTCTCCTCCTCTTGCTCTCAGTCTTATCCCCACAACAACAACCCTGTGAGGTAGGTTGGGCTGAGAGCTTGTGACTGGCCCAAAGTCACCTAGTTGGCTCCATGGCTGAGCGGGGACTAGAACCCAGATCACCTGAGTCCCAGTCTCATGCTCTTAACCACTACACCACATTGGCTTCTTATATCATGAGAAGGTAAGACTCACCAGATAAGACAATAATGCTAAGGAAAGTCTAAGGCAGAAGAAAGAGGAGAACACTTAATATGAAATGGATCAATTTCATAAAAGAAGCTGCAGCTTTGAGTTTAAAGGCGCTGAGCAAGGCTGTGAAAGACAGGGCGTTTTGGAGGGCATTCATTCTTAGGGCCACCATAAATTGGAGATGACTTGATGGCATATAACAACAACAGAAGTAAAAATGGCATATTAATAGGGAAAAGAAATCAAATGCAATTCTGGTGCTTGTTCTGAGCAATAGCGATATGGGAGTGGAAGGGTCCTGGAGCACCTCTCAGAAACAAACTACCAAGGCACATAATATAATCCTAACAGGGAAAAACAGCAAAGAGCCACCCACAAGTCAGTTTTTTCACATGTGGTACACCCAAACTGAGAAGTCATATCAGATCTTCCTGTGCCTGTTCCTGACAAAAGATGTTTTAGTGATGATCAGTGCAGAGTATCTGGTTCCGTGACATTGCCAAGTCTCATTTAATCCAGCATCCTGATTCCAACAGTGGTTGAGCAGGCTCTCATGAGATGCCCACATGCACAGATAAATGGAATTACTTCTTCATGCAGTGCATTTTTGCTACAAAATATGGTGAAAGATAGCTTTAAATTTAGATCGTGTGAAACAGAGATTAGCCAGATTAATGGAAGGTAAGGTATTTATGACTATTATGAGCTATCTCATAATATGAGATATCTCATATTATGCTCAACACACACACACACATATGAGCATAGCTATGTGCTATGAGTTATGAGCTATGGCATGAGTTATTAGTTATGAGCACTATACATACTATCTGCAAGATGTGAGGCAGCATAGCTCCAAATACCAGGTATCAGGGAAGATCACAGGGTTAATTCTGAAAAGGCTTGATGTACAATGGGGATATTATTCCAGCCTTATGTTGTATGTCAACTATATGGTCGACGAACTTCAAACGTAGGTGCTCTTTGCTTTTCCATTTTGCCCTGGATGCCTTTTCAGAGAGAAGGGGTTAATAAAGGCATAAATTTGGGAAGGCTTCAGTTCTTAAATATAGTTCTTAACACATCCTGCTGTTTTTTTACACATTCTCTTTACAGCATCTTTTAAAAAAAGATATCCCACGGAACACTTAAGCTCAGATTGCAGCCAAAGCAGATCTAAATTGACCACCTCCACTCTTTAAACCAGTGCTCAGCTGAATGCAGGCACGAGTTGGGCTTCTATTCATTTCCACACATGCATGTGCCCCTCCTATAACTCAGTGTCAAAACCTGAGATTCTTTAGAAGGCTGGAAATGAAGTGTATTTTACTCTAACTTAAAGAGCAATTCTTTGGAAGTTTAAACAAGAAAAACGCGTACAACTCCCAGTGTACTTCAGAAGGTCATGCCGGATTTGACCGCTTTTTAAAAATCTGAACTTTCCTAGGATTGGCCCCTTAGGCTTATAGACTATCAAAATTATTTGCTATAGCGGTTTTTACACCAGCAGGATACGCGTCGCAGTGATCGTTGCCCATAAGAAACGATAGAAAAAGCAGAATATTCGCGGTTCGCCCGTCCCTGCATCCAGAAGAGGAGGAAGGATGAAAGAGAAAGAGGCAAATACTTTTTTGTTCTGACTCAAATCTTTTTAATGTGAGGTTTAATTTTTTAAAAACGTTTAAAAGCAGCAGCCACGAGCTGCAAATACAAATCGATTTCAACGTTATTATCCACGTATTGCGAAGTTGGGACCCTGAGGCTGAATTGTTTCTGCTGTGCAGTCCAGTGTTTTTATTACCATGATTTTATTTCTATGCGCGGGGGTAGACGCTTGAGGGGCTGGCTTAAAATAAATCCAGTGTTTGCACTCCCATAGTGCGAAGGCACGCATAAGAGAGAACGTTATGTGCTTAAGAACATCTAATACACCTCCGCGAAGCCTCCTATTGCATTCGTTCCGCAAACGATTCCTACAGCTGTTTTGGAATTCCACATCTCACATGCGACGCACACTTTGGGTCACAGCAAAGATTGCAGTCCCCTGAAACCTAAAGCCAGGGCCTAATCGAACACAGACTCCTAGCTCTCCGTTTACTCTCATGCAACCGCGGTGCGCTTTTAAATTTCTCTTGCAACTCTTTAAAAAATTGAGATTCCCTCAATAAGCAGGTAGAAAATGGTGCGCCTCTAAACTTTCTATCTCTACGAGCAGGAAACGGGGGCTGAAAAGAATGTCTTCCGCATGCGCTGCACGGGCGCCCCGAGTAGCGTATTTGAAGATAGTGGCGGTGGTATGTTTTTCATGCCCGAGCTCGCGGTCACGTGGTGCAGCTTCCGCGTAAGCGGCGGCATGTAGGAACAGCTGTAGTCGGGCTTGGAATGTCTCCTGGGCTAGCGATGACTGTGGTGCGCGCCTTGCTCGTGGCCGTGGCAGCGCTAGGAACGGTGCGTCCCTCTGCAGGTGAGCGGCGAGGCGCGCACTTTCTCTTTTGGAGTGGGAATAGGGAGGTGGGTCGCCCGCTTGTCACGGGAGCCAAAGCCCCAGTGGGCACCCCGTGTGCCTCTCCTAAGCTGTAGTTTCCGCTGGAAAACTCCGCCCTAGGATAGGCGAAACCATGTAATGAAGGGAAGGTTGCCGTAGAGAGCTTCGGTTATTCGGCGGTATAATTAACAACAACAACAACCAACAACAGAGTAGCACAGAGATTTCAGCTTCGCCACCGCACCAGAGAAGAGAAATAGTCCTTCCCCTACTTTGCACATCATGTTGGAGCGCTTGTGTCTAACTCATAAGACAGGGCTTCCAGAAAGTGACCTCTCTTCACTACACGCTCTTCGTCATGGTGGCTTCACGATAAGCGTGCATTAACAGTACACTTTAGAGCTGAGTTCCAGGAACCCAGGAAGCGTAGCTTTGTACGGAAGTAAAAGAAATGAGCTAAAGCATTCATACATTGTTTGTGAGATGGCTCTCTTGCCTATAGAATTTAATGCCTGAATATCTACTGGCTACAGGGTGAAACTCATCTTTGTTAAGTAGGGGCATGTAGTTGTTGCTTAATACAGTTGATGAATATAAATGTAGTCATGAAGTGCTTGTTCCTATTGATCCTAAATCTTGGTATGAAAGAAGGCACTAATATGGAATCTCTCATCCTCTCCTGTCTTCTACAATGTGATGCCAGGAGAATTTATTATCCTTGGCTGATCTAAAGACCTTCCAGTTGTTTGGATAATAGTAGGTTGCAGTTTCTATTCTATCTACCTATGTATTCAATTATTTAACATTATTTTTAGGGCTGAATGGAATAAAGAACTAGGATTGCTCTATATAGCCTAATCAATGTAAAGAAGTGTTAGTTTCCATATGTTCTGCTTCTCTTGACTTAAACTTGAATTTGACTGAAGAAAAAACTGATGTTTGGGCTATATCAGGCACTGCAGCTTCTTCTTAGGAAAATATTACCTCGCTCTGCTGGGTTGGTGATGTAATGTAGATAATACCTGGTTGAGGCACATGAGGTAGGTGTGCTTACTGGTGGTTTCTTTTTGAATGGAAGTATTTTATTTTAGAAGTATCTTTGATAGTTGGAGACGCCTGCATGCTTTTAAATTATAGTCATGTGATGTGGGGACTAAGGGATGGACCGTGAAGCGAATTCTGAGAGGTCATAAAGAGACCTTTTGCAAGTTAGCAAAGATAAAAGTCTGAAAAATCTGCACAACTTTCTTGCATGGAATAAAAGGGGTGATGAACCAGTGACAGCCTCTCCAGTGTACTGCTTGGGCACTTTGAAGGGCTCCCAGGAGCTATCAACTCAAAGACAATGAAAAGCAATCTTGGGTGGGGTGGGTGTCGAAAATGTGGGAAAGCTGTGGCAAGCACAAAAAGGTTCCTGTTCACGGTGTAACAGGCAGAGGGGATGAGTCCTACATCAGAGTCCCCTGGGATAACTCCAGGAGGGTTGAGGGGAAAGGGGTGGGAGACAGTATGTTCAGTCCGATCATCGAATGAGCACACTAGGGATGGTCTCAAGAACAAGCGATAGCGCTTATCCACAGGGTTGGTTGCCATGATATGTGAATTTGTCCTACATGAATACAAAACAACCAAACTAAACCAAACTATTAAATTACCGTATTTTTTCGTCTATAAGATGCTCCCACGTATAGGACACCCCCCACTTTTCTTACCATCTCCAAGTGAGCAAGCTGCTGCTATGCGCGCGTGCTGCCTCGCCACCTCTCCATGCGCGCACCCGCCTCCCCCCCCGATTGTGCCCGCAATCATGCTAGTCTCCCCCCCAAATGTGCCTGTGCCACGCCAGTCTCCCCCACCCCCGACCACACTCGCTGTTCTCCTCTCGGCCCCCCATGTATAAGACGCCCTTCCATATTTAGGTAAATGTTTTTAAGAAAAAGTACCTTTAAAATACAGTAACATTAATATGAAAAACCTAACCCAAAGCCTCTTCATCAATACTAGTCTTGCTGAATGCTGAATGCTTCAGATGCCTGCCTTAATACTATTCAGGATCTTTGGGAAGGGGTCTTCTTGCTAAACCAGATAGTTCATTGCTGGCTGCCTCTTTTTTTCCATTGGAAGCTAGTAGCACTAAGAGAAATACTTGGTAGTACCATTGGATAGTGCCAAATCTTTGGGTCACTAGTTCTGGTCTTACTTTTAGAGAAAGAGCTTGAAATTCAGTTTGTTTTAAAGATGCTAAATAGGGGTTCCAAGATCCTTAACTTCACAGAGTAAATCCAAAATATTTCTAACTGCAAACCCCACAATGCAATGGTAGGCACTCATGAAACAAACCTGGAGCTAAAGGTTGTGACTCAAGGAAGGCATCTTACAGGAAGCAAGAAATACTGGTATCAGTGAACATTTTTATACCCTCATACGATTGTAATCACACCTAGAGTTTTTCCATGCTGACAACAGGAGATCAAAGCAACCACTTAAAATACTGAGGATCACAGGAACATCGTATATTTTCAGCTGGTTGGGTTCACATGTCACAATATGCAGCCCTGCATAGTTACCATCGCTCTCAATTTTTTACCTCAATCAGGATCTTCATGCTGACTTTCCTCCATCCTGCCATCTCCGCACTCCTCCAAGTGGTAACCCAGGAGACACCATGAGGAGAATTGCAGCTCCTCTCTCTGTGATTGTGAACTGAGTTTATTTTTCCATGGCGTCAAACAGTCTTTGCTGTGTGAACAGGCCTTGAAGCACAGCAGAAAGGATGAGGAAGCTGATCAGGTACCCTCTCCTTCTGCTCCGTAGGGAACTACTGGAGCAGGAAAGGGAGTGACTGATTCATGCTCAGGTGAAAGGCGAAAGAAAGAGCACTGTGAAGAGGAACAGTGCCACTCAGCTGATTCCCATTCATGTCCCCATGTGCATAGCAGACAGAGGCATGTGAAACGGAAAGCAGAGGGCGAATCCACTGAGGCATGTAGCCTCCAACTAGGCACCACTAGCCAGCTGATACTTCTCCCTCCTACAAGCACATGAGGGGTGCTGGAGGAATCAACTGAGCAGTGCTGCCCCTTTCCCACCCACTCAATGGCTCTCTCTGTCTTGTGGCTTGGGAAGAGTGGGTCAGTGGACCACTCTCACCAAGCTCTCTTGCACTCCTGTAAACTACCTTATTTTTCGCTCTATAAGACACACCTGACCATAAGACGCACCTAGTTTTTAGAGGAGGAAAACAAGGAAAAAAATATTCGGAATCAAATGGTTTACTAAACTATTTCATAAACTATAACAGAATACAGTAATACCGTATTTCAACCTTGTACAGTGAACAGCAGTCAACAGTGGCATTAAGAACCATCATCACTGTCATTAACAAAAGAGAGACTTTAAAGTTTGAGTACTCTTCCAGTTTTCATTGAACCCATAGAACTCATCATCGCTAGAGTCAGAATTTATGAAGCTCTGTTGCTCACAATCACTGACATCACTTTCTTCACTATCTTCATATAAGACACCATCTTTGGTTCCATCCAAAGCATTGCTAATTCCACATTTTTTGAATGACTGTACGATTTCCTCCTTCCCTGAGTGCCATGATGTTTTCACCCATTCACAAACTTGAGTGATAGTGGGCCTCTTCATTCGTCCAGTAGGTGTCAGATCATGATTACCAGCAGCCATCCATTTGTTCCACTCTCCTCGCATAAAGACCTTAAATGGTTTGTTGATGGAAACGTTGAGAGGTTGCAACTGGCTGGTAAGACCTCCAGGAATTACAGCTAGAAGAGTCTTCATTTCTTTAAAGCACTTCTTTGTAGTTTCGCTAATATGTGCTCTAAACTGGTCAAGCACTAATAAGGCAGGTTTTTTCAGAAGCCCTCCAGGACATTTGGACCACACTTTTTCAACCCATACTCTCATTCCATTTTCGTCCATCCATCCTTTCTCATGAACATGTACAACAACTCCTCTTGGAATCACTTCTTTTGGAAATGTTTTCCTTTTGAAAATTAACATGGGTGGCAATTTGGTGCCATCTGCACAGCAAGACAACACAACCGTGTAATGGGTTTTCTCATGTCCAGAGGTTTTCACGGAATCTTATATGCTAGTCTTTTCTGCTTTATCATCCTTGTATGTAGAATGGGAGAGGTTTTCTGCAAGAAGATACAGTGATGAAGGAACTGTCAGTAATGTACCAGAAAGCCTCTGTGCAAAATGGTCAAATGATACGGTATACCGTATTCACTCTGTACAAGGACTATACATGTACAAGGACTATACAGCTGTATAGTAATATATGGTATGACATTTCCCAGTGACAATCTATTGGCCAGATGATGACACACAGAACATTACACATGACATTTATTACTGTACTCAGCAGACACATTTTATCTAGAATAATATGCCGTTACTATCTGCGCTGCTGAATCTCAAAATATTTGCAGTCAGTAGTGGAATTATTGAAGGAATCCACAATCTACACCAGTTATACAAGAGCTGCTGCAGACAATTCAACAGCAAATCTAAAAAAGCCAGTAATGTCCATGCTGCCTTACTAGTAAATAATAGAAAAAAACTTCTGACAAAAAATGAGATATTGTACGGTAAATCAAACACACAGCGGACTAAGTAGTCTTTGAAGAATAAACTTCATACACAAAGGTAATGCTGTTCAAATATCCACTGATCCTAAAAAAAAAATGTGTCTACTCAACTAACGGATATTGGTCCTTCTGTTAACTTAATAAAGCAGGCACCGTTCTGATCCATGGAAAGCTCCTTGATAATCACAGGCACATTCCCCATCACTTCCCCATGGGCTTCATTAAAGACTTGAAAACACCCACCGACCTGTGGGTGGTGGGCGTGGGCAGTCCATCCCAGTCCATCTCTCCGTGGCGACCTGGCTGGCGGGTTAAAGCCCGTGGCTCCTCCTCCTCCACACCGCTCCCCCTGAACGGCACAGCTCTCACGTGCGCCGGAGGGGGGGTGGAGCAGGGCGCGCCGAGCGCGTGCCAGCCAGGTAGTGCAGGCGGGCCGGCAGTGTCCTGGCGGTGGTCTTCCGGGCAGCAGCGGCAGCAGGTCTTTCTGGGCAGTGGGGGTGGGCAGTCCGTCTCTCCGTGGCAGCTGGCGGGTTAAAGCCTGCGGCTCCTGCTCCTCCACACCCCTCCCCCTGAGCGGCACAGCTCTCACGTGCGTCAGATGGGGGGGGGCGGAGCAGGGCGCATCAAGCGTGTGCCGGCCAGGTGGTGCAGGCGGGCCGGCAGCATCCCGGCGGTGGTGGCGGCAGCAACAGGTCTTCCCGGGCGGTGGGGGTGGGCAGTCCGTCTCTCTGTGGCGGCGGGCGGGTTAAAGCCCACGGCTCCTGCTCCACACCCCTCCCCGTGAGCGGCACAGCTCTCACATGTGCCGGGGGGGGGGGGCAGAGCAGGGCGCACCGAGCACATGCCAGCCAGGTGGTGCCAGGTGGTGCAGGCGGGCCGGCAGCGTCCCGGAGGTGCTATTGCATGTCCTGGACATCGGGCATACCATGCTGCACATCTGACAGATTTACTGCACACACACATTCGCTCTATAAGACGCACAGACATTTCCCCTTACTTTTGAGGGGGAAAAAGTGTGCCTTATAGAGCAAAAATATGGTACCCAGAGAGCTTCAGCTATGGAGTAGTATAGAAATGGAATGTGGTGGTGGTGGTGGAGGAGGAGGAGGACGACGACTATGACTTATGATGAGCTCTGTTTTCCAGGCTCAGACAATGCAGCAAGCCACTGTGGTACCAAGAAACTATGGAACAGACTGTTGCTTTTGTTTGTGGTTTCTAAAAACACAGCAAAGCATGTTGAAATACCACAGTGGGGTTCAGATGATATTGCAATCCAACAATGGTAAAATAACATTGTAGTCCGACAATCATGCTAGCAAAGTTACGCTCAAAATCCTACAAACTAGGCTCCAGCAGTATGTGGACCAAGAACTACCAGAAGTACAGGCAGGATTTCAAAGAGGGAGAGGAACTAGAGATCAAATTGCCAACATACACTGGATCATGGAGAAAGCTAGGGAGTTCCAGAAAAACATCTACTTCTGCTTTATTGACTATGCTAAAGCCTTTGATTGTGTGGATCACAACAAATTGTGGCTAGTTCTTAAAGAGATGGGAGTACCAGACCATCTTATTTGTCTCTTGAGAAACCTATACACAGGTCAAGAAGCAACAGTGAGAACTGGACACAGAACCACTGATTGGTTCAAAATAGAGAAAGGAGTTTGGCAAGGCTGTATACTGTCGCCCTGCCTATTTAACTTATATGCAGAGCACATCATGAGAAATGTGGGGCTAGATAAATCTCCAGTTGGAATTAAGATTTCTGGGAGAAATATCAACAACCTCAGATATGCAGAAGATACCACTCTAATGGCAGAAAAAGAAGAGGAACTAAAGAGCCTCTTGATGCGGGTGAAGGAGGAGAGTGCAAAAGTTGGCTTAAAACTCAACATTAAGAAAACTAAGATCATGGCATCCAGTCCTCTCATTTCTTGGCAAATAGATGGGGAAGAAATGGAGGTAGTGACAGATTTTATTTTCCTGGGCTCCAAGATCACCACAGACAGGGACTGCAGCCAAGAAATTAAAAGATGCTTGCTCCTGGGGAGGAAAGCTATGGCAATCTAGACAGCATACTAAAAAGCAGAGTCATCACCCTGCCAACAAAAGTGCGTATAGTCAAGGCTATGGTTTTCCCAGTTGCAAGGTATGGCTGTGAACGCTGGACCATAAGGAAGGCTGAGCGCCAAAGGATTGAGGCCTTTGAATTGTGGTGCTGGAGGAGACTCCTGCGAGTCCCTTGGACCAGAAGGCGATCAAACCAGTCAGTCCTAGAGGAGATCAACCCTGACTGCTCTGTAGAAGGCCAGATACTGAAGATGAAACTCAACTACTTTGGCCACCTAATGAGAAGGAAGGACTCCCTGGAGAAGAGCCTAATGCTGGGAACAATAGATGGCAAAAGAAGAAGGGGACAGCAGAGGATGAGGTGGCTAGATGGAGTCACTGAAGCAGTTGGTGTGAGCTTGTGGACTCCAGGGGATGGTGGAGGACAGGAAGGCCTGGAGGAATGTTGTCCATGGGGTCGCGATGGGTTGGACGTGACTTCCCGACTAACAACAACAGTCTGACAATGGTAAAATAACATTGTACCTTGTCATGTCATGTGAACCTACTCATTGCCTTGGTTAGAAATTGATTCACCTAAGAATTTTCCCTTGCTTCCATTTAGCCTTCAGTTAAATTATTTGGTTATTTTGGGGGGTTACAGAGCTGTTAGTGGTATTACCTGTTTTGACAAAAAATAACTTTAAATCCTGCTTAAATTTGTTTTTGAGGTGTTATTTTAATTTTTTAAAATCTTCCTCTGTAGTGTAGCTTTCTTTATAGTTATTGAGTGACTTACTCTGTTCCATAGTTGAATCAAGTTGGCATCTTTAGAGTCAGAAGTCCCTTAAAATGTTGCAGTATAATATGGAAGATATGAATGCTCTTATATTTAGGAGGTGTTCATTTAGTGTGTGAAAGTGATCTCTTCCCTTCCAGCTTGACTTACAGTGCAGTCCTTTACATAATCTACTCAGAAGTAAACTCCCTGAAGTCAATGGGACACTCCAAGTTAGGTGAGAGTATAGCATTGCATATTTAAAAGTAGAAGACTCTGGGAGCTGTTTGAACATAATAACTTGAACATTTTTGTATGCTTGGATATTGGGGTGTTTCAGAAGTTTCAAATGGGACTGTTTTGAGCCAAGTGTCCTCCCTTTGCACATTCAAAACAACAGACTTTTCTTGCAAAATGTTCTTTATTGAACAAAGCATTTTCCAGAAACAGAAACTAACCATCTCTGGGCATGCGCAGACCGTTAGTTAAACCCAATCTAGTATTTACTTCTAGAAACTCCCTTTGTGAGTATGTTTGGGCCCCATCCTTTCAAGAGGGATTTTTTGGAAATGAGCACACCACCTCTGCATGCTGATCTCTAATGGGGCCGCCTTCTTCTGCCAATGTCATATCAAGGATCAAGAGCTATAAGTGCCTTCTTTGTCTCTGTTCCTAGCCTTCTCCCAATAGCTGTACATCTTGGGTATTCTCTGAGTCTGACTGAGCACCTGGGAGTCTGGCCTTGAGATAAGCTTCTCGCATCTCAACACCTGGAGTTGGCCCACATTCCAAAGCCGCCTCCTGCTCCTTTTCCTCTGTCCCAGGCAGAAAGCCTTGCGAATGTACACGAAGAGCAAGTGTCTTTCTCACTCCCAACAGGGATGAACTTTATTCAACAAGGGTTTCATAAATGAAGTTGATGAGGTTCCATTGATCAGCTTTTCCCTTACAATGTTTTGAACTATAACACCCAGCACTTCTGATCTTCTCCATGCTGAATGGGGCTGATAGGACCAAAACATCTGAAAGACACCAGACTGGAGAAGGCTGCATGTATGCCTGGTCAGTGGCTTCTATGGACAACTTTGGGATGGACAACTTAGGTCACTTGTATGTCTGTGTCCCCTCAACAACCTTCTGCAACTGGAGTCTGAAAATACTACAAGACAACAACTGCAGCAGCAAAAAGTTCAGAGACTTATTGCTGATTTCAGCAGCAGAACACTGTAGAGCACTGCACAGGCCAAATGTAACTAGGAAATAAGCTAAATTTGGCCACTGTAGCGTTCCGTAGTGGTTTGTCTCTAATTTTCAGCATAAATCACTCATTCTTTGCTACTACCACTGTGAAATTCAGGAACATAGCAGGGATAGGTAGGGGCCTCACCAGGGACATCGGGGTCAGCATTTTCCCTACTTCTCATTATTTAAATCACCCAAAGTCTTATTTTCTTTTTTGATTTGGTAAGAAAAACACCTGGTTTCCCTGAACAAGCACATTTTTTTAAATGCCTGCAACAGTGAGGTTGTGTATTAGCTTGTTTTCTTACTTTTAGTGATACCATAGTAATAACAAAAAGCTACTTTTTACTTTTGTTGATTAGTTGGATCTTAGGTTTGTTTATTCATCAGTAAGTCCCACTGAACTCAATGGAACTTGCTCACAAATAAGTGTACACAGGACTACAACATTAAAGGGACTTTTATCAAATAATAATTGTTCAATGCTGCATAATTACATTTCTGCATGAGGCACAATCTACTCCATAATCCTGTTCCTAATGGAGCTATGCTTATTAAAAAAAATCTTCACATTGCATAATTTTAAACAAATTAGCCCTGAAGTAAATTAATCTTGACATGGGCCTACTTAAAAATAATGATATTTTTTCCAGGGAAAAACAGTAGAAATGCAGTGTTTTGCCATGGGACAGTAAGCACATCACGTATTGAAGAAACATAAATCTGAAATGCTAAGATGATATTGCTAAGAGTGTGTTTTAGAACTAGAAAAATGGTTTCTGTCAGATCAGTTTGATGAAGTCTAATCAAACTTTGACTTGACAAACATATGGTAAAAATACCAAACGAACACAGAAGCTACGGAAACCTGCATGTTTCATTTCCCATTTCACAAATGGTTAAGATCTGCATACTCTGCATTTTCGATCTGTTTCCTGTTTGCTGTCATGTTGAATACTTTGTTAAGGAGTCAAAAAAAAAGGGGGGGGTCAAATACAACATCCTTGTAATTGCATATTTTAGAGCATTAACACCACTGCTTTCTGGGCATACAGTTTGCATATATCTGTATCAAATCCACTCAGTGTTTTCTAAAAGCATTTCTCCCCTCTGCCACGTTTTATTTGCTTAAATGCAAAGTATGTCGATATTATTATAACTTTGCTCTCCAACAGCTTTCCTGTTATGATTTTCATTCTTCTGTATAGACTATTGCTATTCCTGTTATCCTTCTACTAAATTTCATCCCACTCCTATAATGTAATATACAAATTTAGTATGCTTGGTTCTCACATGGTTAACTCAGCCCATGGCCATGGATTTAGATAACGCATGGGATTGTAAATATTCAGGCAAACTGTTGTTTGTTTTCTCAATCCCTCGGTTGATTCCTTCCTCCTTTGGAGTACAGTCCACGAAAACTGTGAATGACACTTGTGTATTTTATGGTTTTTCATTGTTTCAGGGAGATCTCAGCAGTGGTCTATTTTCCTGTTCCATTGCAAAAAGTCTTGAACTTGTAATCCAATACTTCTAGTTTTGAATTAAATACCTACATTGTTATCTTTTCTGTGTCAGGATAAAATTGCCCTCATGTTCCCAGCCATGTAATGGCATATATCTAATCATATATCTAATCATATATATCTACAGTAGGCCTTGTTTGTAATGGAAAAGTTTTAACTGTTAAACTGTTTTATATTTTTGTATATTGGAATTTTTAGTTGTTTTTAATTTGCACATTGGAGTTTTATTGCACTTGCACTTGTATTTTTATTTTATCTTTTGTATTTGAATGTTGTGAACCACTCAGAGAGCTTTGGCTATTGGACAGTATAGAAATGAAATACATACAAGCATGTATACATCTTAAGATGTTAAGGAAAAATAGTTAAGGAGAATAGTTAATACAGAGTCATTGGAGCAACAAAGAACTATATTTATTAAATTATTTCAACCCATCTTTGAAAAGACTTTGCCAAAACGTCTGGCAATAATATGAGTACCACAACAACCATCATCCAGTATTTCCGAATTAAAATTTTATTCTATGTCTGAACACTCAAAAGGAGAGGTATAAAGATGACACAGCTATACTTCTTATTTGTGGTTCTCTTGTGACTAAAACTTGGCTTGGGTTCTGTACCTCATGATAATTAATCTTCATACATGAAAAACACAGAGGTATGCTTGTTCAACTTGTCATTTTGCTTAGAAAGAGCTGTTTCTTCCAAGAAGCGAAGGAATGCAACTGAGGTTGGGTGACCTTTCTGAATCAATTAAAGTATAATCAGTGATGAACCTTGTATGTCATAGAGAACGTTACATGCATAACACTTTCTGTTCTTCAAAATATCTATAGGTTTAATATGTCTGCCACAACCAAGGAACCTTTCGATTGAGGTTATTAACATAAACATCACTCTGAAATGGGAGTGGGATAATCCATGTAACCTCAGCGTGACCTTCTCAGTTCAGATACAAAGGTGAGTTTCCCAGTTACGTTGACATGCAACACAACTTTTTAAATTCAAAAGCTTGGTATGCTGCATTTTAGGATAAACACTCCCAAGGCAGCGTACAAGAAGGCTTAAAATCATGTAACATAATAAAAGGATATTAAGGTCAATAATTATTTATAATGATAAAACCAAAATTGGAACCCTATAGCACAATATGTGCAACTACCCAAGTAGACCCATACCTTGGTTATAGGCCAAAGTAAACAAGGGAATTTTTGAGGGGCCTGCTTGATGACCTGCAGTGAGAGGGTCTGGCAGACATCAGTTGCAACAGAGTTCCACAAGTGGGGGAACCACTGAAGAGCCTAATTGCTCTTGCAGGTGGGCACCCAAGTAGAGCCTTTAACGGTGATCTTGGAAAGTGGGCAGGTTGGAATGGGAAACGGTGGTCCTTCAGGTGACCTGGACTGAAACCCTTTAGGGGATTTTGAAACATTGCTGGATGTCTGGTTCAGTATGTGAGTTTGATCCAAATTTCTGTGTTAAAAGGAAATATTTGCAAGATTTTGAATACTGAAACTTAAATGTAAATAATAGACTATATGGAACTTGTGACAAATTGTTGGAAGTGATAATATAGTTTTTATTCTACAGTTAGGATGAGTTAGGAATTTACCAAAAGGTAACAATGAACTTGGGTTAGCAGTCACCAAATAGCTGCTCATATATTGAAAGATTCAGATGCATTTCTCTTATGACTCATATGTAGAAAGAATGTATGGTGGCGAAAGTAGAATTAAGTTACAAGCCAGACAAGGTGCATTCATTGCACCACTTGTACAGTTTGTATGCGCATACAAATTTTACATGTTTAAGCACTTTATATATAGTTGGAGACTACTTTGATTTTACAGACAAAAGATAGAGTGAATGTGTTTCAGTTAGGGGCGGAGTCTCATTCCACCCACACTGATTCATTTCATGAATCTAACTTTGCGCAACATGACAGTCCACCCTGGGAATAAACCACAGTGGATTCATTGCCTGTTGGTCACACTGTGGCAGAACAATCAGATCCACAAGGAGCTGTTCATCGTTTTTCTCCCCTTCGTTCTTCCTCAGACCTCTCTTGAGTATCTCAGAGGATGTCATGGCAGGGCTGACTTTTTTCCACCTCCCTGCCTCAGTTGCAAGCTGTTTTTGGCTTTTTATAGCTTTTCTTTCCCTAAAGATTGTAAAGAGCAGTTTGACAGCCAGTTTTCATGATCTCCATTTTGATGGCCACTAACTGCCCTTTCAAAGTGTTTGAATACCACCTGGTAGGGCTTGTGAGTGATGATCAAATATTTTAGAAAATACACAGAGAATGGGTAGAAGAGTTTTCCTTTCCTTTTATTTAGCCACACTCATGCAGCTGTGAAAATTGGAAGGCTCAGTAGTGCAATGTTGGGATGGAAGTATCTGCTGACAGAGTTCAGTGGTTACCATCCGTGGACATTGACTTAAAGAAGGTCCAAATAAGCTTGTCTTCCATTGTGTTTTCTTTGGATGGCTATTAAGGGAAAACTAAGATGAGAGTGATCTTTGTTTATGAAAAGGGGGTAGTGAGATTCATACTTCTTTTACGCCTTTCTCTGGAAGTTCCTCTTTTCTTGCTCTGATAGTCCTCAGAGTGATGTACATTTTGTTCTTTTCTCCCCAAGATTCTAGCTACTCAAGAAAATAGATTTTGATTGCTAGCTGTCAAAATTCTGGGTCCCCTTTAAAATGGCAATTGATGTTCTTTGACCGGGACATACACTGCTATACAGTCGTGCAAGTGTAGCTAAAATAATTTGCTCCTCTCAAACAAGCCATCCTGTGGGATCCGGTCCAGGTTTACATGACATACCAACCCATTTTGGGTAACAATAATAATAGTGGGTTATTGTGTCATGTGAACCCAGTTGTAAACTCCTAGAATCTTCCTCCATTGTACAAATAGCAGTAAAACTTAGAAGAGAGTAATGTGTAAGTGCCCACTCTGTCTGAAAGTCTTTGGGGATGATCAATCATTGAGATGCTTTTTAGATGGTTTAATCCAGGGGTCGGCAACCTTTAACACTCAAAGTGCCATTTGGACCCGTTCCCCACACAAAAGTAAACACCGGGAGCCGCAAAACCCTTTTGACATCTAAAATGAAGATAACACTGCATATATCGTTTTTTACCTTAATGCTATGTATATCTTCATTATGATTTAGCTGCAGCTCTTTTCAGTCACTAAAAACTGTTATTTTTAATCTTACATTATAAACTAGTAGGACTCCTTTCATATATTTTGAATAGGAGAACAGCTTCCTGAAGAGTCAAAGTCAGTACTAAAGGGCTGCATGTATTAAACAGCAAACCCCATAAGTTCGTCAGCAGTAAAAGCAAATGATATCATTAAACGTTTGGTTTTCTTCAGAAACTTTTCTTCGATTTATCCATGGTTGGCCTGGGGGAGGGGGAGCTCAGTAAATCCACGGCTGTGCTGTGCCAGAGATTTAGGTGTGTTTAGTGACTGATTAGCAGATAAACAGTCAAGCGCTGTGAATTGTGACAGGTCCCAAGCACAGCTTTTATCATTCAGATGAAGGAGATGACATTGGGACAAAGAGAATCTTTTCAGCAGCAGTTTCGTTTCTGTTTCATGTAACATGAGAGCCTGCAGGAAGCTTGTTTAGCAGATGAATGTAGCGATTTACTTAACTAGCTGATTTACTTAACTAGCTAGTTTTGTGTTCCGAGTGGAGCTTCGAGCAGATCTGCAGGACGGAGTGTGTTTTGAGCTCCGGAGCAGCTCCGGAGCCGCGGGTTGCCGACCCCTGGTTTAATCAAATTCCAAAGAGCATTAGATCTTCCAAGGAGGATTGAATTTCTCAAGAGTGCTAATGCCCTTTTATTACATGGGGAAATTTGATGAAACCATATAAAGTGTAAGAAGAGCTCCAAGAGCCGGTTAGCTTTCTTTTTTCCTTTTCAAATGCTTCTGGCTTCAAGGTTAATATAAATGTGTGGGGGTTTTTTTTCTTTTTCTACCCTCTATTTTACGTATGCATGTGGGTGCTAGGGAGTGAGACAGTTCACTCAACAATTTAAAAACCATGTAGACTTGAACTAAAACAGCACCTGCTCTCCATGTACTTGTTTGCCTTGGAGGATTAGACAGATGTCAGCCAATGAGCACAGTTAGGGATTGTAATTTGCAGATAAATTTGCTGATGGGAAGAAGATCAGTTGGGATCTATTGCTAGATCTTTGGATGATTTGAAGTAGATCAACATTTTTTTCTAATTCTCAGTTATTTAACAACAGCAGAAATAATAAGACTTCCTCACTAGCTTCTATTAGGCTGCTAAAGCTAAGTAACCCAGAGTCTGCAAAAGGATATCCTGTTTCTTAATTCTAAGTATATGATCTGCCCTCCCCAGTCTTGCACCTGAGGTCAACGTAAACACAAAGTAGATCTTGTGGGTTAGAAGTGTCCCCTCCCCAGCTTACCTGTTCCCACACCAGCTTTTCCTTTGCGACTACCCTGCTTCTCTGGCTGCAGTAACAGTGTTCAGCAGGAGAGAGCTGAACACCTGCATTCAGCCAGTCACCAGTGGTATTGTTTTTCCTACCCCCTGGTTTGCAGCTGCGGCTAAATGTCCACTTGTAACTTGGCAGACATAAGCAATACTGTAATAATAACAAAAACTATTTGACCGTGGTATAAATCAAGACTGAAAAGGATTGTACACAAAGAACTAGTCTGTCCTGTTTGAAAACATGTTTATTTTTTCTTCCAGTTTGCCAGATGATAGCCAGATAAATGAAGAAAGCTCAGAAGTTGTTTCTGTGTGTCAAGATGTAACAATCAACGAATGTGACCTCTCATCAGCGGTAACAGAATATTACGACTATTATATGGTTTCTGTAAGAGTGGACACAACAACAGGTCACTCCCCTTGGGCCTCTATAACATTTTGTCCTGACATGGAAGGTACAAAACTATGCCCTCTTTATCCATTGTATGTCTTATGCTATTACTAAAATTGATAACCTATTTTGAATATCTAGTTGCTTGCTTATCTGGCTTACAGTTGTTAAATTGCTTAAAAAGCTGCCAAAGAAAGGAGGATCTTAAATGTTTTTGAAGTGCATGCATAAGGGTAGCATTGGAACTAAAACACGCTTTTCTTTGTTGCAGCCAGAAAGCGGGGTTGAAGTAAAAATTAGACAGCTGCTCCTTTCCTCAGTAGTCTACCTCATTCCCCTATTTGCCAAACCGGGTTTTGGAGGATTGGCAGTAAATCCTTTTGGGACTTTCTTCCACCTTTTTCCTGCCTTGTTACTAAGCCAAGATGATAATTGGCTTCTCTGGTATCTTCCTCTGGAATTGCTTTTGTGATCTCTGAAAGGTACCCGTGTGGTTCTGTGGTGGCTGCAAGGAGGAGCAGTCTGGGATCAGAACACTAATGCGGCCTTCCAAAGCAAGAGTGCTGTCTCCAGCCTTGGAGGGATCTTCCAAGCCGTCTTATGACCCCTGGGATGCAGACCGTGGAAATAATAGGATTACTCTCCCTGTTTTTCAATTTTATATTTTCCTTATTCATTTCACTCTGTTTATCTGGGGCTCTCAGGCCCAAACTATACATTGCACAGGAGATCTGTGATTGTTATCTACCTGTTTCATATATTTAATTAATAGAATAAATTGGCATAGCAGCTACCTACTTTCACACAATTCTCACAATCAAAAATCTTCTTTCTTGAAAGTCGGGTGTCAGGAGGCAGGGGCAATATGAATATCCATATATGCCTTCCCAGAGCAGCAGTTGGAGTTGGGAGGGATTTTGATCAGAAGGAAGTGGACCACCCCCTTTTTCTATGATTTAATTGGTGCTCCCTGTCACCACTCCTGCAGAAATTGCTTTTTGTAAAAAAAGCATAACATTCCCCCCCCCAAAAAAAAATTCCTTTAGGACATATAGTCACAGTACTCCCAAATAATATAGTTTGGCCTTCATCTTAATCATCAGGGCTAGATAGATCGCTGAATAATGCTTTCATTGATTAATCATAATAATTAAAGTTTGTAGAGGAAATTATAAACTCATCAAGCAGAGTAATGTAAGGATGAATTCATTGGCTGAATACCCTAATGTATGCCATTGAAATCTAGGTTGACAACTGGCCCTGGCCCTTTGAACCATTAGTTTTGGACCAAAAAAGGTATGTTGAGTCCAAGAAGTTAAGGATTGATGGTTATCATTATTGGACTAGTTTTGGATGGTTCTTATCACTCATGGAAATATTTAAGTTGTCTAAGAAATGTCATGTGTCATGAGGGAGCTTATAGTTAGTATCTGATGGATATTTTATGAAGATAGCCTGATTTTTGTTCTCTTTAAGAATTGCTCATGAGTTGTTTATTGCTGTTATTTAAATTTGTGTGTATCTTCCCATTGACTCAAGCAGTCTTGAAGCAACTTGCACACACAAATGCACAAAACACAGGGTTTTAGCGCTCTAAGGCTGCCAGCACTGGCATCAGCCCTGTTTCTTTCCTTTCTTGCCTGCTGTTGGCACAATTACAATCATACTGTACAAGAAAGTTTGAGAGAAAGGTGAATGGGGTGTTTGGGAGCCGAATGGAGCACAAGGCATGGTGATCGCACCCTTTCTACTTCAGAATATTTAAAGATATAGCTGCTACCTCCAGGCAAAGGAAATCCTATATATTGTTCACCTGTTCAGTCATGTCTGACTATAGGGGATCCTATGGGCCAAATCTCACCATAGTTTCCAATCCCATGCCACTTCTTTTAGCTGAACTATGCTCTGGCCCTAATTGGCAACCTGGTCTTCTCCTGCTGCTGAGCATTCTAAGCATTAAATCTTTTCTAATGAACTCACATAACGTGGCCAAAATACGTGAGTCTCAGCTTTGTTATCTTGCCACCCAGGCAACCCTGTATAATGTGTGGCTTATTTCTACAGAGATGGCTTTAATGTCAGTCTCTTATAGATGGCAAGGTGGAATTTATTTGAGTGTGGATTTTTTGCCTCATAGGGAAATTATATGGGTGTCTGTATCTCTTCCTTTGCAGACAGAAGCTCTCTCAGCAGATTTGTTAGCAATAAGAATAAAATTAATCATAAATATACTTAAATTCTGTTTGTTATCTTGTTCTACAGCCCAAATTGGTCCTCCAGGAGTTAAGTTTGAATTCATTTATGGAGATATGAAAATCAGCATTATATCTCCTGAAGCAAATCAGCCAAGAAAAATGTGGAAATCAAAGCATTTCAACTACAAACTAGTTATCTGGAAGAACTCATCCCATCCTGAGGTGCTACATTTCTCTCCACTTAAGATTTGCTTTTTGCTAAAGTAGTCCTGCATAAATAAATCTGGAGCATTATGACTTTCTCATATATTACACATGCATGGAGCAATCCTGTGGTCTTTAGATAGTGTCTGAGTAATCTCCCATTGAAAACAATTCTCCCATTGAAAACGATGGGACTTCTCAGTAAACATATATAGAGCGGTGCCATCTCTTAAGTTTGAATTCATAGCTCTTTACCCTTTTCTCAGATTCTTTGACCCATAGCTGCAAGTATTTCCTACCTTTTGCTACCAAAATCAGTGGCAGAGACTTGGTGGCTAGTGGACACTTTCACATCTGGCTGGGATTTTTGCCCACCCAAAAGTTCTCCTAGGCAATTTGTTGCCTTGTTGAGGAAATCTTTTCCCTTGCAGGTATGAGAATTGGCTTGAGAGATAGCTCGCCATTGACTGGAAACTGCATTGAGCATCACAAGTCTTCTGGGCTTATGAGATTTTTGAACTAGAGGATTGTCATAAGTCATGACTGATAAGTCATGCTGAAACTGTTTCATCTTACAAAGTACACTTCATATGCATCTTGCCATGCTTACCTGCAGGCATCCGCAAACCTCCATTTAGCAATCAAAATTTCTGTTACAGGAAATCTCAGATAGGATAACCCTAACTTTTATTTTTACCAAAAGCAGCAATGGAACAGAGGCATGTTGATAATTTCAGAGTAATAGGAGATGCAGAAACAGAATTTCCTCTGTTTTTATGCTTAAAATGTTTGTAGCAACCCATCCATGAAAAAGATACTGATATATGTATATGGCTGCTTCTGAGGATTAAAAAAAAAACCCAGGAAATCAAATGGTGACTGTATTGCAGGGGTGGGCAACCTGGTGGTTTGTATTATAATTGTACAATCCCCAGCCAATATGGCCAGTGAACAATGATTGTGAAGTTGATCAGAGATTATGGGGTGTAGTCCAAAACATCTGGAGGGTACCAGATTACCTACCCCTGTTCTACTGCATAGTCCATGCAGTGTAGGTCCATATAAAAGTCTCATCTCAAAAATTTAGGTGAATATGTTTACATGGCAATTAAAGCATAAAATACTATCTGAATAAGCTGCAGGTACAACCGCTAAAATTATGCTAATATTGCTTCTATCAGGCCAATAAAACCATGCCTTTTAAACACTGTATCAGCATAGCAGGTATTGTTTGTAACAGTTGCAAAAATTTATGATTATATGCCATTGTCTGTTTCCAGGAAAGAAAAGAAGATGTGTTTTCAGGACAATTCATTTATGACCTTGAGCCCGAAACTATTTATTGTTTGAAAGTTAAAGCACGTAATACTGATCACAGGTCTCTGTATAGTAGAGTGTACTGCACACAAACACCTAAAGGTATGCATTTGCTATTCATTTATTTTAGTCATTAAATCCTTTTAGCTTTTGGGGGGAAATATGCCACTCTGAAACAAAACTGTAGCATCCTCATTACAAAGAAAAACTATGGCCAGAATCAATTAGAAGTCCCTTGGGTGCTTATAAGAACTTCTGCACATGTTCTTTTCCCATCTCTGCTTCTTTCTAGGCCACAGCATCTTGCATAGCATGGGGGCAAAATCCAAATGTTCCTGTGTTCTGGTGGTTGTTGAACAATCAGTGGGGCACTGCTTTCAGATGCTCATCGGACCTTTTTGGTTCTAGCCCATTTTAGCCATGGACCTTTGTTTGTAATGGCTCTTATTTGCATTGTTCCTGACACTAAACCGATGAACTCTGAGGTACTTTCTCTTTTTTTTCCTCTTTATTAGCTTGGATTGGTCTACCTCGTCCTGAAAATCTTTGCGTTCATGGCTTGAACATGAAGTTCATTTCGTATTGGGATCATTTATATGATGGAAATGTGAGCTTTCTGGTACAGTACTTCAAGTAAGAATTCCTGTCATATTCATTCTAGTCTCGTTTATCCTATTTTATCCTTTGAAGATCATGATTTCTAACAAGTAGGCCTGATATACCTGAACAAAAGACTTAAGCATAATGTGGGACTCTGAACAAAAGCAAGCATACCCTTGAGTTTAGGAGCCCTGCTCCCTCAAATTGGTTGTCACTACTGCTGTCTCCTTTCCCTGTTCCAAGAATTCCGTTATTTATTCTGGTGCAGGGGAAGGAGATAGGCAGCAATCAGTGTCCTGGAGACCCCAGCAGAGTTTGTTTCCCTACAGTACTGGCTTACCTGTCTGAGAATCCCAGTTGAGAAGCTGGTGCTATTTGCATCATTTGCACTGAGAAGGACATCTACAAACATTAGAGGAAGCTGGCAGAAAAACACTAGACTTTTCACTGACAAAATGTGCTCTCATGCATGTGCTCCCAAAATGTCCTTCCATAGTAATACGATTTTTTAAAAAATTAAGAATTATTCACACTAATTAAAGTGTGTGTGCATGTGCACACGTTTCTATTTTATTCTTTGCTAGCAAGGAATGCAAATTGATGTTAAATTGAGGTTCTTTTTACTTTTCTGCCAAGATATGGCAATAGAGGAATTGTATAGTGGAAAATAAAGAAATAAAATCTTATTCTTTTCTGTTTGGCCTAGAAGTTGATTTACACTACTCCAATATGTAGTAATTTATCTTTCATTTTAGTAAATGTTGTTTTTAAAAATCCTGTCCCTCAAATGGCTTAGAGTAGTAAACAAAGTCTCCACTCTGCCTCTTACTTTATCCTCACGGCAACCTACTGAGTTAATATGGAATGATATCAGGCTTATCCACTGAGCTTCCTGACTGAAGGGGAACTTGAACTTGCATTTCCTCCAACACTGTCAACACAGTTCCACGCTGACGCTGGTGAAAAGCCTCCTTGTCAAGCAAGGAAACATTCTTATCGACAGGGTTCATTCTTTTGATAAAATATCCAGTTTCTTGGTTATTTAAGTGCACTGCCAACTTCCTTCTTTTATAGTCAACCCTGATTAATGGAATCCCTCAGAATAAAATGGAATACAGCATGATTGATCACCTTGATCAATTTCACCTTGAAGTGTATTTCTGATATATTACCCAAGTGGGAGATTTTTCAGAATCCCAAATGATACAGAAACGCCAGTTTCCTTCAAGTTATCATGTCAGATTTCCACACTGCTTCCTTATATTTATTGGAGGGTTGGAATTTTCTTTTTGGAGGGGCGGGGGGTCTCTGAATAGTCTGGTGGTGATGAAAAATGACTTTTCCAGTACTTAGGCCCACTTCTAAATCTGAGTGATGTATATATTTTTAAAAAGAGATCAGAAGTTGACTGCTTGGCTTTAATTTCTGGAGAAATAGCTGTAGGTTCCAAATCTTCTGTATTCAACTGCATTTCCCTTGGAACTTTTTCAGGTTTATATCTAGCTGTGTTGGAGGTCTCAGTCTGATCACATTTTCCACGCAAATATTAAAAATTTCAAATAGATGGCTTAGATTCTCTAGAAGAAATAGTAAGAGAATGGGATTAGAAAGAGAGTGTAATAACAGATTTTATAGTGTTGTTTGACAGTTACCTTTTCTCATAACCAAGAACAAAGATCAACTTGGGTTAGTATAGAACAAGTCAATTTAAATGAATTCAGAGAAAGCTGCATACATAACTAGGAAAGCAAATAACAATTTCCCTTCATAGCAAATTTCATAAGCTAGTGCACACAAGCATTACCATATGAAGTCAGATAGGTGAAAAAAATGTTCAGTATAGTGCCTATGGAGTAAAGATTTCTGTGATTACAAAGTGCCTGATTGAAGTGTTTCCGTAAGATCACAAAGTTTATTAATGATCTGTCCTAACATGAGGAACATCAGCAGGTTTATGTTTACTAGCGTAAAGCAATTTGTGGCTTCTAAATCTCTGGAATAGTAATAATACTTTTCAAGCAAAAATGGGTGAGTTCAGGCAAAACTATAATTTAGTGTTATGTGTACACGCCTTGGATTCATCTGCTGCTTCTACTCCCCTCTTCCAATTGTGGCTATGAGTAAGAGACCAGACGCTTTTCATTTGCATTTCACCAGATGGTGACTTAAACCAAGAATCGTGTCTGAACTAAGACTTATGACTACTAACAGCTAGAATAAGAAACCACGATCAGAAACAACTTGAAGTTGCCTAATTTCAATAAGCCATAATGAAGACTAAACACAGTTTAGACTTGGCACAGAACAAAAAAGCTGCTGTTTGAAAATGGAAGTAAAAGCTTTCAGTCTTCTCAGAGCTGTAGCACAGGGGTGAAGCTCACAAATCCAAGGTTAATTCATGTTACGCTGAACCAATAATCCAGTATTGTGTCTGAATGTGGCACATCCTTCTGTATCTGGTGTTTAGTTAAAAACACTGCAGTACTAAAATTGGGGAGAGCCCCTCTATCACAGCAAAGAACATGTGATCCCACAGCTTAAAAGTGTTCCCCAACTGTGCTGTATAAGAGTATACAGTATACATTGCCCAAGAGTAAAACATTTGGGCAGTGCATCTTGGAGTGTTCCCAAGGCCCAGCTTTGAACAGAGTTGGGATCTAATTCTGTTTTGAGAAATTGACAAAAATAACAACAGTATAATATAGAATTCTATTAACTTTGTTATTTTGATAGCGGACACAAAACACGAAGCTCTCCTGACATCTCAAAGGAATGGCACAGTATAGAAGGCTGCAAAAACATCTCAACTACACACTGTGCTCTCCCATCATCTTCCATTGGAAAAACTGGAATTTACTATCTTCGAGTTCAGGCTCTATATAGAGATTTGAAATCACCTTGGTCTAAAATGCTAAAATTTGAACCTCAAGAAGTTAGTAAGTATCATTTTCTCCCTGCATGTGCTGACATTTGTATAGAATCCTTTTTGTATACATACATCTTTAGGTTCAGAATCTTTGTCATTCTCAGCTTTGCATTGCCAAATATGATTTGCCTACTAGGGGTGAAGGGCAATACTGACAAATACAACATTTGTTCGAATCTTGATTTGTCTAGCCACCTTTATAGCTTCAGAATCTCCCTTGATATTGAAGCACTTACTGATACTGAACAGTCGTATCAGCCAGAGATTCATGTTTATAAATACTTATTATTAATGAATAAGTCTAATATATGATGCACAGGGTCTTAAGCAGGAATAGAACAAGGAACTGAATTTTCCCATTTTTGATTTTAGTATCTCTGCTGAAAGTTCTATAAATCTCATGGTATGATTTATCCAGCAAAAACTTTTGCTATGTGTCTTCTGGACACCAAAACATAATAGGACTAGGGTTTGCCTAAATTTGCTAATTACTAATAGTGTAACAAGCTGATACACTTTTAATCATATGTTTTGGCAATGACCAATAGTTGCTACCTTTGGGGAAGAGGTTATTATATGGATAGCCCTTTATTGGAACACCCTATATCGAAATTCCTGTCCACTTAACCTGTCTCCTAGATGTTAACACACAGTCAACACAAATGAATTTTCTGTGCACCTTTTGACAATTAAGGACTGATATTAAAGCACTGGAAGGATAAATGCTCACTACTTATAATACAATGGATTGAAAATCTAACAACTTTTCAGCATTCATATGGGTGGTATATAGATGCCACTTGGTAATGAATGAATGCTTTGTTTCCTTTTATGGAAGTTCATGCATAATATATACATTTCATGTGCAAGTACATCAGTCTGTCTACATTTGTCTGTCTACATATTTTCCTTTTCCTTTTTTTTGGTTGTTTTTATAGTGTCATAGTGTTATGACTATAAATTAATGGGAGGGGAGTGGATTAGAGCCTGTCAAAAGACAGAGTAGAGAACAACAGATTAAAAAAAAAAAGATTTGTGACCATTCTGTGTATACATTTCTGATTAACATATTTTAGCATCACACTTGATCCACTTTGAATGAGAGATTTGCATTATTTTTGGAACTTAGTTTTAGCATTACAGATCAAACTGCTTTATCGAATTGAAATTTTTAATATACTGTATACAATCATTTTCAAGATGAACTTGGTCCACCGGGTGTCAAGGTTGAGGCCGATGTTGATTCACTTCTAATTTTCATTACTTCTCCTGGAGAATCTGAAAATAATTCAATGAGCAGACATTATCAGTTGACTTACTACGTTTGGTACTGGGCAAATTCTGCACATCCCAAGGTAATACATATATGAGTGATACTGACTTAAAATGTAGACCTTTCCCCTTGTCTGCGCTATCTGTAACACCTTCAGATGATTAATAAGTCCCCTGCTTTTGCATTCCAACTGAGCTGCTTGGAGAGTGAGTAGTAAATGGCCAGCACATCATATTAGGACATGTTCTCATAGAATTTGTTTTGTTTTGAAATTATTTCAAAGTATCCCTTCATTGGCCAGTTGCTAGATTGCCAGTTGCTGACTATAGTTCGCTATTGCTAACTAACTCTGGTGTCAAATCTGTCTTTGGAAATGAAGTTAATTCTCCAGAGTCAAACAAAACACTAGGCATGCAGTGCCCAAAGGACTGTGCATTCCTTAGAGCCCAGCACAGTACTCCTGGCATTTGTAGAGGTTGTGGCAATGTGGATTGAACTCCAGATCAGAAAGTCAGTGTTTTTGTCTTATTGACGTTTTTATTTAATTTTTGTTTTGCAGAAAAGAGAAGTTGATGTGAAACCATATAAAATATCAGGCTTGACCCCGTCAACATTATACTGCCTGAAAGTGCAAGCACATGCTTTAATGTTTAATAAATATAGCAATTTCAGCAATGTAGCATGCATTGAAACAAGAAAAGGTATGAGCTGTTTAACTTTTGGGCTGGAATGTGTTATACTTCTACTCAGAAATTGTTACTAGGAGCTTTAACCTGCCCCTCAGACACATTGGATTATCACATCATTAACACAGTTTATCTATGTAACTTTCTATAAAGTAGATAAGAAATACATTAGCATATTATATGCTGTGGTTCAAATAGTTATTGTAAACTGAACTTAGTACTTTAGAAGGATTATGAAAAAGACCCAGCAAGTTTGCATTTCTTGATAAGGATTATTCAGAAAGAACTATCTTATTTTATAATTCTATAAATTTTATAACCTGCTATTTAATATTGTATATGAACCATTTTTACTTTATTAGTACTTCTTAGATGAATTTGGTTTTAAAAGCTTGACATGCATATGAGTCACAACATCCATCTTTCCCATTCACTAAATATTTTTGAGCCGTGATGGCTTTTCAAGTGCCAGAAAATCAAGCAATATCAAGCCGGAAAAATAATACTCTCTTAAAAGGTTACATGTTAAGGACTTAAGAGTTCATTCCTGCCTCCTTCCTTCTTGACTGTTGGAACAAGAGGCCCCTCTGCTAGTGGAGAGGATGGAGCTCCCTGTTCCATCTGTAGATACCTTTCTAGGCAGAAAGCTACCACGTAAGATGGGAAGCCTAACAGCTAAGATGGGATTCCTTGAGATAGGTTGAAACCCTCTTTTATGCCATCCTGGAGATGATACAAGAAGAGTCTGTCCCACTCCCAACCCACAGTTGTAACCAAAGGGAGGAAAACGTAAAAGGGAGGAGAGGAAACACACACACACTTATTCTGGCCCAACTGGCTTTTAACTCCACCCCACTTAGGAATGTTATTTTTACCATTAAGGTAAAAATTTTCCCAATATCTAAATATTTTAATTCTTTTTTGTAGGAAAATATCTAAACTACTTTGAAGGGTGTATAATTGTTGCGGTTGTAATGATTGTCATATCGGGCTTGATCTATGCATTGTATCATGCTTGGAGGCAGATCAAATATGCATTCTTTCCAAAATGCACTCCACCAATGATAATAGAGGTATTTATCTGTAGTTTTCTTGATATCATTTGCAGCAGTAAAATCACTGTGGGTTATGTAGTATCATGGCTGCTCCTGTGTCATGCAAAGGTCACAACAATGTTCACCATTTCCTTTGGGATAATGTGGATATGAATTGAGCTATCCCTAGTGTTCCAAGAAATGGACAAACTATAGCATGGTCAGAAATTGTGTTTATGCATCTGTGTTTTCATTTGTGCAAGGAACTTTGGAGTTGGAGCGTATGAATTTTATTGCCTTTGAATGCATTTGCTTGGTGAATCTACCGGATATACTATTTTGATGCATCATATAGCTTTTACTAATACTTGGAATTGGCATGGCATTCTACTTTAATGTCATACAACACTAAATGAGTATAGTGTTGATGAAATCCTCTGACTTGCTAACATCATAAGGGGGTGTAGGATTCTTTATAGTCCCAGCTCTTAGGTCCTAGGAACTTGATGCTGGGACTCTGTTGGCTGAGGCCCCACTCACAGGCAGCACAGAAAACACCATACTGGCTGCTTCTCCATCCTCAAATCTCTTCAGTTGTCCAGTAACTTACTACTTGTCACACTCAGGAAGAAAATGTGCTATTGTTCTTAAAATAACTTTTTTAAGTCTTCTGGTCATAGATCTATTTATTTGTAATCTACTTGGAAGGAAGATGTTTAGATGCTGTTTGTGCTCTGGGGTTGAGAACATGGTGGCTGAGCAGCTTCAAGCACTTGGATGAAACAGATTATCTTGATCCATTTCAATTGGGTTTCAGGCCTGGTTTTGGTATGGAAGACTGCCTTGGCCACCCTGTGGGATGACCTTTGCTGGGAGAGAGACAGGTGGAGTGCAACCCTGTTGATTCTCCTGTACCTCTCAGTGGGTTTATTTATTTATTTAAAAGCTTTTATATCTCATCCAGCTACTGGCATTTCAGGATGGTTTTACAATAAAAGCAACACAAATGAAGTGGAGCACAGCATCCAATGCTTCCAGTATAATAAAACCCACATTAAAAATACTATTGACCAGGGTATCTTTCTGGATGGGCTGGTGGGTTTGGGAATTGTATTAATGGGATTTATTAATGGGATTGTTGTGTTTTCATAATATGTGATTTGTATTAATTATGGGATTTCTGATTTTGTAAACTACCCAGGGAGCCTTTGCGCTAATGGTTGGTGAAGAAATTATATAAATAATATACAAATTAAATACTGGTTTATTGACTTTTGAACAGCTTTTCCAAAGAATCAGAGCCTGAATAATACCTATATCAAGTAATAAATGACATACTGAAACTAGATTCTTCCTGTGATTAACTTTTTTCAGTATTCAAATACTGATTCATTTTCCTTCCTTTCACATATCTCCAAAAACCAAGTTAAATTTATTTTAATTTGAAAACTTTGCTTGGTTCTAGTAGAATGTCCTATTGTTTCAGTATTCTGCATTTCACTTATTTCTACCTTATTGGTTGTCCAAATCTGTGCTCACCCTGTCTGAGAGGACACAGGATGATGCAGAATATTCTGAAATCACATCTAGACATTATGGATGGGAAAGCAGGAGCTAAATATGTTGATACCAATTTTGATGGAAGCTAAGCTTTAATAAAATGCCTACTTTTGCTCCAAGTTGCAACTCTCTAGGACTCAAACTTTATTGCAGTGATTATGTCTGCCTAATACTTCAGAGCAAAAGTAGGTAATCTTTCCAGTGATTATATACCAGTCATATTCTCAACTATTAATAAACATGACGTGATTGATTCTGCCCATACATAATTGTTTTGGGTAGTGGCATTTGTGTAAAAATCAATCTACTTTTTTCATAGTACAGCAATTCAGCAAAATCACATAGTATTGCAACGGTGCTTACTAAACAATTCAGACATTTGATACTATTTTTTCCTCATTACTTTTTCTGTTATTTCACACCTGCAGAACTTTGAAGGAAGAGATGTGAACAGTTCCTATTTGCTAACTTCAGAAGAGTTAACAGAAAACTGTGTCATAGTTGACAGCATTCCAAGTGAAGTTAACCTGGTTGAGTGTAAAGCCCACAGTGAATTGGAACAGAGCAACCGAGACTCAGGAAACTATTCTAATGACTGTGATAGCTCTGGAAATAGAGAGTTGCATATGTCCATAGAACCGGAAACAGTGTGATTCTCTACAATAATGGTCTGAAGCTAAGGCACTAAGGGAGATGACCAGTACAGCATAATTAGCACCTTGCTGATTACAGGGATCATTATTGTTTCTGCTACCTTCCAGATACAAGAGATGCCTTATCAGAAAGAGGACTGGCAACTGGTTCTCACATTGAAGATTTTGAGTTGCATACTGTGACTGGAGGAATTGCTAGAATGCTGAGAAGGAATTTCTCTACCTAAAACTTCATGGGATAATGTTTACTTCTTCATTTTAAGCACCAGAAGCGGTGCTTAAACAAGTGGTGCTTTGTGTACATTTCACATATAGGAAAGAGCATCCTGAGAAAGCAGTAACCCTGGATGCCAAACTGTTTCATTATTAACTGGAAACAGTACTGGTATGTACAGTCCTCATCAGAATATAACAGAAACTGATGGTATGATGAAATAGCTTCCAAAAACAAACTCACCAGTTTTTACAAGTAGAAAAGAATTTCTGCCATTCATGAATATATATATATACACATCAGAGTTAAGATCCTGGAGATGAGAACAGAACCAGATGGCCCTGATCAAAGGGTAGTTCTGAGTGCTCATAAATTCTAATGACTAAGGGAGTAATTCACACCAGGCTCTCAAGTTTTAACAGAGTAATTTCACAATTTTATGCTATCAAGAACCAAAGGCACAAGGATGTTTCAGATAGCAGGGCCTAATGGTTTATTGCAAGCAGCTGGCGATGGCATGGGGTGATTGGAAGACTGGTCAGCTGATGGAGTGGAGGAGAATAAAGAGTCGAAAGTTGGGGGTGTTATTTCTTCCTCTTCTGGTGACCCTTCCTGCCTGTTGTGAAGAGGAGACTGGTTGCTTCTGTGCTAGTGGTTGCTATAGACCTGAAGGTAATACATGTGTAGCCAAATGACTAGCTTCCTTATTTTTTCTGCCTTACTGATGCAACAAGACTTAAGAGTATTGGGGGAAGTGGCATGAGCTTTAAATAATGTGTTTTTAGTTGATGCTGTCTACTATCCCTGATCTTTTCACTTTTCACCTATTTTAATTCTACTTCTTTTATTCCACCCCTATATCTTACTACCTTAATAAACAAGATTTGTATCCTCTAAGCTTGAGTGGGTCATGTGCTAATTCCAGGGCTTTGGCCAGTTGTGTGACCTGTGAAGGTTTAAGTAATTTCCTACCAGGGCTGGGGGCAGTGGGGGATTTCCCTTGGCAGATTATATATACTTTATTGATGTGTTCCTTACAGCATTATTGACATGGTGGCTTAAAGAGAACAGTTCAGTCACCATGTTGCTGGTGCCTTTCAGGTGTCATCTAGAGCATAATTTCTGCACAAAATAGTCTAGACAAAGTCAGCTTATAATGACAAATCTTAAAGACAGGTAGAGGGTTTCATCCAAGGAAATGCTTTGGTAAAAATCAAATAAGTGAAAGTTGATGTAAACAACAACCTGGTCAATCCTGAGTTAATCATTCTTATACCCAATCAGTTATTGACAAATGGGGAACAATTTATATTAAGAATATAACTTTATCAGTGATACAGTACCTAACTGGAATTTTCTTAGGATTTTTTATTTGCCTTAGCATATGTGTTCAATGTATTTCAATTGTAACTTAAGTAAAGCTGGCCTCCAGTTGAACAGAATGTTTTGTTAGACATCTAGCAGCTGTGCCATCTTCCAGTCCATATCCCACCCATGGGTTTGATGGTTGTCATGTCAGCTGGCCCTCAGGTCTCCAAGGTGCTCCTTCTAGATGCCAGATCTGTGCAGAATAAAACTTCCCTCATCCACCATCTAATTGTGAATGAGGCAGCCAATCTGGCATGCATAACCCAGACCTGGGTGGGTGAACAGGGAATAGTAAGCCTCTCCCAGTTGTGCCTGTGTGGGTACTTGATTCAATATCATTAAGGGCCAGGGAGGAGGAGGAGTTTTGTACTATAGGAATGCCATCTCTCTCTCCAGGCACCTTGTTCATTGGATGACTAGTCTAGAGTCTTTGCACCTTGTGTTGGGCCAGCAAGACAGACTGGGGATTTTGCTGGTGTACCACTCACCCTGGAACCCCTCAGTCTTCCTACTGAACTGATGGAGGTGGTCTTGGATGTGATGTTGGAGTCTGCTAGGCTGTTGGTCCTGAGGGACCTCAACATTTATGCTGAGGGCACCTTATCCAGGGCAGCTCAGGATTTCATAGTCGTTGTGACAACCACAGAACTATCTCAACATATCACTGACCCAACACATTTTATTCAGTCAGTACAGCTTGAGGATCTGGATGCAATGCTTGGAAAGGTTCATGCAATCACCTAGATCCTTGTCCTTCACAGCATATCAAAGCCAGTAAGGAAAGAATAATACACTGGGCAAGGCAGGGGGGTCATCAGTTCCTCTTTGTGAGAGGGAGTGGTCCCATGCTATCTTAAAGAGGTGGTGGTGAAACTCTCCAGAAGCCCGTGCTTGACCCAGAAAATTTGAACAAGTACGGGCCAGTAACAAACATTCCTTTTTGGAGCAAGGTTCTAGAGAGGGTGGTTGCCAGTCATCTCCAGGCACTCTAGGATGAAACTGATTATCTGGATCCATTTCAATTGGGGTTCAGGCCTGATTTTGGTACAGTAACAGTTTTGGTCGCCCTGTATGATGACCTATTCCGGAAATGAGCCAGGGGAATGTCACTCTGTTGATACTGCTGGACTTCTTGGTAGCTTTCAGTGCTGTTGACCATGGTATCCTTCTGGAGCGGCTGGCTGAGGTGGGACTGAGAGGTGGCTCTGCTCCTACTGGGAGGGTGATCTCCAGAAGGCGGTGTCTGGGCAATATTGTTCAACCTCGTGGATTCTCCAGCCTGGAGTTCCTCGGGGGTCTGTTTTGTTCCGCAAGCTATTTAACTGCCGAGTGGGGCATATGGAGTTTTGCAGTGGGTTGCCATCAGTATGCTGGTGACACCCAGCTCTACATCTCTTGTTCATCATTGGTAGGTGAGGCTGTGAATGTGCTAAACTGGTGTCTGGCTATGATGATATACTGGATGAGGGCTAACAGCCTTAAACTCAGTCCATTTCTCCAGCATGAATATTAGCTATTCTGGCTTGAAATTAAGGGAGTTGCAGTCCAATACATTTGACAGACACCAACTTGGGGAAGGATGACCTAAACTAAGTACCTATGCCTAATATAATTCTGTAAATAATAAACAGTGTATATAAAAATTGTTTAGTCCGCAGTATCAAGTATAAGTCCCTGAGGAGTTTATTTGGCAAACTGTAGAATCCTTCACCTTGATACACATGACTACCAAGCTTTTGTTTTAATTTATTCCAGTACTTGTTTCTGCTTTACAGGGTTAGAGTGTCTTTTTCCCTATTTGTCCTCCCGCCCCAAGATCGGCACAGAAGCCCTGCTCTGGGAACCCTCTGTGAAAGACGTTAGGAGACAAAGTACCCGGAGGAGGGCCTTCTCTGCAGTGGTGCCCTGACTGTGGAATGCACTCCCCAGAGATGTCTGCCTGGTGCCGTCATTATGTTTTTTTGCACCAGGTCAAGACCTTTTTATTTAATCAATATTGTAATATGTTTTAATATTGAATGTTATTGTTGTATTTTTTAATTTGCAGCCAGTGTGGATGGTCAATTTATTTATGTTGTAAGCCGCCCAGAGATGCAAGTAATTGGACAGCATACATAAAACAAATAAAAAATATTGAGCTTTCATGTGCTGCGGCTTATATGTAAAAGAAATGTTTCAGCTCTGAAACCTGCTATTAATTGTGAAACCTATGTAATGAGTCATACTTTCACCTACCAACAGATGTTAGTATGACTAACATAAAACAGAATCAATATTAGCTCTCCACTTGTAGTCCTGTATATTCTATTTATATATTTCTTGATTTGGATTGGTTAGGTGTGGCATGAAACCCCTTCAGATCCTCAGCCAAATTCTTAAACCTGGTGGATACTCTTATCTAGTTATCTCCCATTTGTGAGAATAAAATGAGCTAATGATGTACAGTTGTAATCCACTCTGAGCTAGAGTGGGAAAACAGCATAAACTGTATTTGATCTTGTGTGCTTTTCAATACCATTTGTACTCCTTTTTTGTATTCCTCGGCCATAAATTCTATTTTCATACTAAATATTCATAAATAATGCTAAAGCCAATTGATTCTATTGGATCTATTTTAAGGCTGGTTCCTGTACTTGCTATGACATGTTAAATCAATCTGATTTATTTTGACATAAGACATATGAAGTGTCAAGAAGATGAATTTTTTTCCCTTTATAATACTAGCACCTGGTATGATTCCATGAATCTGATTGGAAGCAGATTTAGGACAAATAAAAGGAACTACTTCACACAGTGCATAAACTATGGATTTTACTACCACAGTAAGTTGTCATGGCCACCAATTTGGAAGGCTTTAAAAGGGGACTAGAAAAAGTCATGTTATATTGAAGACTACACACTATCTTCTGTGCCAGGACATTATACTTATGTACACCATTTTCTGAAGAACATAGAGTTGCATTCTTGTCTTCCAGATTTCCTGCAAATAGCTGGTTGATCACTGTATGAACAGAAGGCTGGTCATTGGTCTGTTCTAGCATGGCTGTTCTTACATTCTTTCATAGACTAGAGTTCATTCAGATGCATGAAGTCTTACACATTATGTTGCTTATATATGGACACATGTGGCAGTGGTGGTATAAGCAGGCTGAAGGGTGATTAAATACAAAACTTCAGACTGGAGTAATTGTGTTAAATTTATTTAAAATGTTAGTCATTGTTAGTAATAATCCAATTAAGCAGTATTGAACCTGGAGTTGTTAATTAACTGGTAATGTGAATTAGCCTACCAGTGCCAGGATGCATGTCTTGTTTGTTTGTTTGGAGTGCTTGTATGCCCCCATTCGCATAAGCCTTGGGGCGGCTTCCAACAAATAACAATATACAAAATATACAGAATTGGAAACATCCCGGAGTTAGATAAAAGCAATAAATAATTTAACAATCAATTAAAATAACATTTAAATAAAAAGGTCTTGGCCTGGCGCTGAAAAGCAAATAATGACGGCGCCAGATGGACCTCTCTGGGGATTAACCCTGCTTTCTGAATGGTCACTGTGATTTCATATAGTTTTCAGCTTTAATATAATTATTGCTCTCTGTGTGCTTTCCTTTAGAATCATATGTAAACTGTTCCCACAACAACCACAAGCCATATATGTTATGTAAAATGTATACCACATGTGGTTAGGGAAATGATAAGAGGCATAATTTAAGAATCTACAGAATAAGTGTAGACACACAATCATGGGCTATGGTAGAAGTATATAAATTGAAATATTAAATACATTTTGCACTTTATTATCACTTTGTTGTACATAACATTGACTCATACAGTGAACTGTAGATACGAGGACTTTCTTCATAGTTATTTTGCTTAGCGTGTCGTGAATTGAAAAATCCTCATTGCAACATTCACCTCACCTACCAGGAGCCTCAATTTTGATCAGTTTTACTTCTTCCAAAAGCAAAGATCTGCCAAAAGAGAGGCATATACAGCATGTCCCTGTGTAGATTCATATCCCAATTTTCATTTGGTCCTCAATGAACTTGCACAACACTTTTGAGATACATAGCTACACTCATCAGAGATCTCTGTCATCTTACATGGTGCTGTGTCCCTCTGTCTCACACATGCACAGAGCCACATTTGTGGCTCACACTAAAACCCCTTGGCAGTAAGCTACAGTGGGCTGCTTGTTGTGTAAACCACCAGTGGTGCACCTGACAGACAAACTCACTGGGTTAATCACCTCCATCTTTTCCCACAGCTTTCCTAGGAGGTTTCTGTGGCAGTACTGACTTGCCTGCTCCCCCACACTAGCCACCATAATCACAAGTCAACTTACTTTCCATGGCCCTTTTTTGTGAGACCTCAAAGTCTGCCTCAAGTGGCACTGTGGAGGAAATGTTAGTGGTTAGCAAATACTGCTTGTCAGGGTGGCTTATTTCCCTCAAACAAGCCACCCTGTGAGAAATGGTCTGGGTTCACCTGGCAGGACAAGCCACTAAAGATCTCTGGGGGGAAAAGTGCAGAAAGCTGAAAAGAGCTCATGAGCATGGCCTAGAGGGAAAGAAGTCCAGCTGCAGCATCCCCTGGGAGACTTCAGGAAGACTGAGTAGCAGTGGGAGGGAGCAAACAGCTCATTAGTGCTTGCATTTTTCTTTGCTTTGGTCATGGAAACAAACTTCCATCTTGAGAACTCAAGCCAACTTTCCTTTCGCTAGCAGTTGAAAAATGGTGAACTCCCCTAATTTCCCTCTATCAACAGCAACTCTGTTATTCATTAGCACGGCTAGAGAAAGACAGTTGTGCATCCAAACGATTAATAGGCAAGTAGCTGTTGGTGATCTTTGCCAGTGTGCAGTAGCCCTAGCCTAGCTTGCCCCACAAAGCTTAGAATCCTTTCTCCATGCCTTTACTTATCTCAACACATGTGCAAAGGGTGCCACTGTGGAATTCAGGCAGTCAGACTTGGATTATTTTTCCTTCTAGCTTTATTATTTAAAGCAGTGGTAGGTAACTTTTTGGGGATGTAGGCATATTCAGTAATTTGAGAAAATATCCTGGGCATAAGCACAAAATGGTGGACCCGCCTTGGCAAAGGACAAGTAAATTGCTGAAAAGACTAAATACAGGGCCAAGGTAGGGACTGAGGTCCAACATACTAACTTTATTTGAAATCAGTTGTCAATGCCAACAGAAAAAGCAAGCCACTGGAAAGAAAATTAAGTGGGAGGGTTAGAGCACCTTGTACACTGGTACAGTCAGGAACAGATTACCTATCCCTGGTTTACTCTGTCTGACACCAGTTTACTAGTGTTCCAGATAGAACTTCCTCAGATTCTAACTAGAATTCTAACTAGATTAAACCTGGGGCTTTTGTGCTGTGCGTGCCACCTAGCTGCTGGCAGTGGTGCAGCTAGGACTGGACTCAGGCAAAAGCCAGGGATCCCACAGCCCTCTCCTCTGCCCCGTGACTACCCACAGAATGGCAAGAACTGTGGCAAACATGCTCAGTTTTAGCATCTGGTCTGGCATGGGCATGCTGGGGTACACTACAGATGATTCTGTTTGCTGTGGATTTTTTTTAATAGTAAAAGAACAGCTGGCTGGCATGTACATGACTACAAATGCTCATTATTTAAAAAAGTAGTCTTTTTCTACAGCAAAATTGTATTTATTCCCAAGTAATTGTGTTTAGCATCAAAATAGCCAAAGCAAACTCAATTTTATTCTAGTAATCATGATAATGCTTGCTTAACTGAGTTTAAAATGTAAAACTATGCACAATATTTTTCCTTTTCTTTTTACAAAGATGGCAAACTCTTTATCTCTCTGCTTTGCTCCAATATGTCAGAAAGTGCAAGAAAATGTAAAATGGCTGGGTGCGGTACAGCGGAGAGAAATCATGCTTTACAGATGAAGTAATCTACATAGTTCTCTAAAAGGTTCTTCCTGCAGAACCATTACACCCAGGATCTTCCATTCTGTACATGTATAAAATGTGATTTCCTCATTCCTGAGGTTGTGGCTGTCAGGCAGGCTTTTTTGACATTAATACCAAGGGCAGTGGAGGATGCTATAAGGTCTAGTAATAATTTTGTATACAGACTTCATTTCTAAACACATACACAAAACACTACAAATGTATGGGTGACACCATCTAATGAGTCATCCACAAGATGCATAATTCTTCAACCAGGATGGAAAGTAATGGTGTCTTAATAAAAAGCCCCCAAGGGATGTTTGGTGAAAGCTGAAATAAAACTGAGCATTAGGTTGTAGTTACCATTGTTCCTACAGTGCACAATGCACTGCGTTTTATACCGATATTCCTGCTAGGCTTGTGCATATTGCATCCATTCCTCCATTTGTCTTGCTTTCCACACTAGAGAAATACAGCCAGGTATAATATTAACAACAAATCAAGTTTGCCCTCATCTCTCTGTGTGGCACAAAGAGGCAGCAAGATGGACTGCAGCATTTCAGACTGCTGGTGAGAGATCACACTTGCAGATGCTCCTCTACATTACAAACTCTCTGTAAGCAAGAGCAACGCATCAGGCAGAATTATAAACTTTTTCTCTGACAGTCACTTTTATTTATTTTATTTATTCAGCTTATGCAGTTATTTAGTCCCAAGGACTCTCCAAGTGGATCACAAAGATGCCAATGAAAACATCTCATAATAAAACATATAACCATGTAAGAATAACAATATATAATATGCAGCTGAAGGGTCAGATGTTAATAGATTAAAATAGTATATTAAACTACAGAGCAATATAAAACAATACCATTTAAACTGAACAATATAAAATCAATTATTAAAATGTATGGAGAATATTTACTAGATTGTAATGATGGTGCCATGCAAACTGCTCTCGGAAAACAGTTCCATAGATGGAGCGCAACCACTGAGAAGGTCCCTCTTCTATTTGCAGGGAATCATTTGGCTTTCTTTTTTATGATGTAGAGTGGTATTCAAATGTTTTATGTTGGACCTCTTATTTTACCATGTAGAGTGGGGTATGTATGTATTTAAGCCTAACCTTATTTGTATTCAGCTGTGTGCTATTTTTAAGTAAATTTACATCACTTTCTCCCAGATACCTTCCAGATTTGTTGAACTGCAACACCCATTATTCCAAGCCAGCATATGGATGGGATTGCAGTCCAACGTACCTACAGAGCACCTGTTTGGCGAAGACCTGTTTGCAATATAACCTGCTACGCTGCTTCCTTCGTATTTGGTGGGTCAGAGGTAGATGACCCCCTTTGAGTTTATATATGTTAACAGGCTGCTTCAGGATGTGGGTGACAAGGAAACCACTTTCCTTTGGTGGTTCCCTCCTCCTCAGTCATCTCCCTGCAAAAAGGACGGCAAGAAGCAGCTATCTCAAACTTTCAAAGGGGGCTCATGTCTTCCAGAAGGTCATAGATGTTGTTAGGGGTGGCCCACTAGGGCTGGAGCTGCTCCTTTCCCTCCCCAGGTCCCACTGCTCTTCCTGAAATAAGGATACGAGGGCTCTGGTGATCTCGGTTGCATCTGATCCCCTTGGATTAGCTGACTTTTTTGCCCACCGCTGCTCAACCTCTGCTGTCCCCATCCGCAATGTTTCTGCCCATGGGTTTATTTCCCTGAAACCTACCATCCTCTCGCCCGTTCATACATGAACTAGAAGTGCCCTTAGGAGAACAAGGGCCGTTAAACACAGGTTTGTACGACATATGTAAATTAGCATAAGCAAACCAGTTCTGTCCTGTGGCCCTGGGCCCCGGACCATGTCGGTACTTGTACCGCGCCTCCAAGGGCCCAAGTATCCCAGCAGGTAATAGTGGCGTCAGTTTTACGGGTGCCGCCTCTGGCGCGCTGCCGCTGCACGATTCAGGCCAGATTTTCTCTTAACAGGCCTGTCCAAGAAAGCCATGGCGCGCATGAATCGCCCCCAAAAACGGCAGGCTGAGTTTGCCAAAGGCAGTTAATGACCTCGGCTCCGGTTCAAGCTTCCAGCGAAGCTAACTTTGGGCCTCGAGGGAGCCGGCGCTCGCGTCATGCCTCTTCCTCCACGTTCCGCCCCCGACCGAGTGCGGGAAGAGGGCGGACTCTGGCGGGAGGCTCCGGGAACGCTTGAGCCGCGATGGCAGCTGAGAAGAGAAACGGGCTGTCCGGCCGACCGGGAGACGCGTGAGACGACAAAGCGCGACGGCCATGCTGCGCCTCAGTGTCCTGCTGCTACTCACCTCTCTATGGAGGTCACTGCTTTCTGCGGCCACCCCAGGTACTTTGCGAGGCCGACCGAGCCTCTCCCTGTTACGCGCGAGAACTGGGGCCTGGGGAGGCGGAAGGCAACAGCAATACGGAACCAGTGTGCGGCCCGCCCTACCCTGCCGCACTCGCAAGGCTTGAGACTTTCTGGCCGGCATTTCCCCTTCCTGGGGGTCCAGCGAGAGGGTGGTTTTTGGATATTCAGAATCAAAAGGGCTGCGTGGCTTCCAGAGTTTCAGGTCGTTTCAGTCCGTCCCGCGGCTGCAACCTCCCCCCTTCATTGATAGAGTGCCTTCATTGAACTGTTTTGTGTCCGTATTAAATAAACACCTCATTGAAGCCAAAGTTGGCAAACGAGGGAAAGAAAGTATTATTAGGAGACCATGTAAAAACAAGGTAGAGTGCTGAAGTTGGTCACTAGTATCCAGTTCCTTATTTCTTTGAGCGATAGAAATAAAGCTCAGCTCTCAACTGAATTCAACCTGAATGTGTGTTCCCACGCATATAGATATGCTTTGAACTGCTGCATTGCATATGAACACACTTTTCCCATTAAGATAAACACTAATCTTCTTCAGTCAAAACACAAGATTAATGTATGATTATAGCAGATGATGAATGTAAATAAGGAATTGGAAGTAGGAAGTCCAAATTTAGCTTCATAACAAATCAAAACCTGCACATCCAGGAGAATGTTCTCTTCCAGTTGGCACTGAGCTGCATCTAGTGCAAAGATTTATTTAGGCATGAGTTTTCTTGTGTGCTCCAGCGCTTTTTGTGGGGTACATAGATCCAGTTCCTTAGCCTGTACTACTTATTTTGGCTATAATACGCATTGAGTGCCATGTTTGATAGTGCCAGTTGCATCTGACCCAAAGCTTTCTTGGGGTGCAACAAAGGACTGTCAGATGGGTGCACTCAAAACCAAAACATCTTTCTTGTCACGTATTCCCTGGCTATTATGGGCATGGGGAACACCATATTAAAACTATTTTATTGTAAGTTGCAAAACAAAATCTTTAAAAGGGAAAGAGTTGTGGCGGGTTGGCTGGGCCAGCCAGTCAACCTCGGCAAGCGGCGCGAGAAAGTTTAAAGAAAGAAAAAAAAGACTGCAGTCCAGAAATCAGTTACAAAGCATGCTCGGTTTAGTTGCAGGGGGAGAACAGCAAAAACTTCTTCCCCCAAGGTTTTTTCTTCTTCTCTCTTCTCCCCCCTCACCACCGGCATCTGCTTTTAGTACTTCACACTTTTTACCTAGGCATTTGAATACAGCCAATTAGCCATTGTATACAAGCAGCCAACACCTTAATGCTTAGGTTACAAGCCTTATATGGTTACAAGCCTTATATGGTTACATAGGTAAATTACAATACTCTTGGTCTTCGTGTGGTACGTGAGTACAGCATGACCCAGCAATGAATTCCCACAAAGAGTTACATAGATTTTCAATATATCAGTTGTACATAAGGTTCAACAAGGCCAACCAAATAGTCTCATATGTATCTATTTGAAACTGTATGCTATCAGTTCTAACATATAAAGCCTTTTTAGGCCTTCAATCTATTGCATTACAGGAGGTGAGCATTTAACTTTTCTGTGTCATCTTCTTGAAAGGTATGTCCATTTAACTGTTAAAAGGGCACCCAGAAAAATCCATTCACATTGATCAAGCGTTAACTTTCAGGAAGCAGGCAGATAATTTAGAAGAATATATGCATCAGAAAATAAAGAGTGTTCCTAATCAAGGTTTATGCATATGATAACTTCCACAGAAAAAGAGGCAACTACTGAATATTGCCAAAAGCTATGATTAAAAGACGCATTAGCAGTATTACACCTCCAGCACCTAGCTGACAGACAACCCTTATTAAAGAGGTGTGAGGCATCCTGTAAATGCAAAATGAGAGTTTTCATTGAAGATGAGACCTAAGATCCACTAAAGCTTCAAATACAGATACTAAAGTGACAGTCCATTGATTAGACTGACTAGGACAATTTAATCCCATATTTGATTCCTACTTAAAAACCCCTGTATTGAATTTATTCAGTAATAATAAATAGTTGTACATATGCAAATAAGTGTGTCCCATAGAAGAGGAGACTGTGAAGTTGTAAATGCTGCAGAACCAAACAGATTCTAAGAAATGTTGTCACTTCGTTGTATTGCCACTCAGCTGTAGAAGACAAATGGTATTTGAAACACACATCTGAAAATCATAGAAATTCATCATCAACCCACGTAATTGATCCAGAGTAAAAATAACCTACCCGTCCAAGTCTGCTAAAGAAAAAAAAACTTACAAATTTTAAAGACTGGATTTTGTAATGAATTTCAAATTTAGCATCAATTTAGCATGTGAAAATGGATACTATAGGTATCTGCTACACATCTCTACCAGCTATAACTGAGGAAGGGTCCCTATCCATTTGAATACACAGAGAGCATAATGCTGTCCATTTGGGAAAAAGAATCCAGACAAAAAGATTCCAGCATTGATCGAGATAAAAATCAAATCGAGGTGGGAAAAACCAAAAGTCAAAAAATAGGCCCCAAGATTTTAAAAAATTCGAAAAGCCAAACTCATCTTTCTTGAGGGAAAGTTACATCCTTTTCAGTTATATTTGTTTCAGTGAAGACCCACCCCCTGCCCATGAAAAAAATGGGGATACTATGTTTGACAATGCCCTGATCCTAAATAAATCTTTAGGTCAGATATGATTCAGTGCCATTGCTAGCGAACCATCTTCTGGATATGGTATATGACTTAGGAGTGGCCTAAAGTTTATTGTGGAGTTCATACTACCAGTTTCTTATTTGCAGTTGTCATCTGTGGGTATCACACACTGCGTTTTACAAAAATTAATTTTTATTGAAGATAATTATTGTTTATCTTGATGGAAAGAGTCTCCAAACATACAGATATGTAGTATAGTCCAGAATATGGTTTAAGTTGTGGAGGCATATATGCTGAAGTTATTTTTCAATTTACATCAGGAGTGGCTTTTCAAATGCCGTTGAACTGCCCTAGTCAGCATAGCTAATGATGCTGGATGATGGGAGCTATAGTTTTCAGTGAGTATGTTAGCCCAGACAGTATTACTTCTAGCCCTGAAAAATTGTAGTGATATAAAAGACCAAGACAATGCTGTGAGTCTCTAAGATCTTGGAAGCTAAGCAGGGTCAGTCCTGGTCAGAATTTGGATGGGTTACGTATGTGTATGATTATTGTTATAAACTGCCCAGAGAGCTTTGGCTGTGGGCAGTATAAAAATGCAACAACAACAAGTAGTAGTAGTACTACTAGTAGCAGTAGCAGTAGTACTCATGGTATTCATCTATTCCCTCTTCTCATTTGTGATAGTGTTTATGCACTAAAAAGTAATACTCCATTTTATTTCTCTTTTTCTTTAAAATAATTTTCTAATTCGTATCAATTTCTGTTGTTTGGTAGTCTATAATATCTTGGCTGGAATTTCAGCTCTGGTATATGGGATTCATTTGAGGTGTTCAGTACTATTAAGTGAAGATAAATATAATGGAATAAGTTACTGTAGAATTAACACTGTGTTAGGTTTTTTACTTGTCCCTTTTTCTTTGCTGGAAGGTCTGTCGTAGTGGTTTTCACTGGGTTCCAGACACTTGGAGTTCTTTTCCGTCAAGCAGAATTACCTGCCCCAGCATCGGAGGCTTCCTCACCATTACCACAATTAGTATTTTTATTTGACCTGAATTTGGAGGCATCCTGGTTGATCAGTTTTTAACTCCTATGATGTTTTCACTGTCTTTTTAGAATCTTCTGTCTTCTTACCAGCACCACAGAATTTGACAATTACCTCATATAATTTTCGGAATACATTGAGATGGTCTCCAGTTAATGGAATCAATGGTACGGTGTCTTACAACGTTGAATTCTGCTGGTAAGTATAAAGTTCTTGTGCAATAAACCCTTTCTGCATTTTGCATTTATTTGTTGTTAGTCACGAAGTCGTGTCCAACCCATCGTGACCCCATGGACAACATTCCTCCAGGCCTTCCTGCCCTCCACCATCCCCCAGAGTCCACCCAAGCTCACACCAACTGCCCCAGTGACTCCATCCAGCCACCTCATCCTCTGCTGTCCCCTTCTTCTTTTGCCATCTATTGTTCCCAGCATTAGACTCTTCTCCAGGGAGTCCTTCCTTCTCATTAGGTGGCTAAAGTAGTTGAGTTTCATCTTCACTATCTGGCCTTCTAAAGAGCAGTCAGGGTTGATCTCCTCTAGGACTGACCGATTTGATCGCCTTGCAGTCCAAGGGACTCGCAGGAGCCTTCTCCAGCATCACAATTCAAAGGCCTCAATCCTTCGGCGCTCAGCCTTCCTTATGGTCCAGCTTTCACAGCCATACATTGCAACTGGGAAAACCATAGCCTTGGCTATGCACACTTTTGTTGGCAGGGTGATGTCTCTGCTTTTTAGTATGCTGTCTAGATTGCCATAGCTTTCCTCCCCAGGAGCAAGCATCTTTTAATTTCTTGGCTGCAGTCCCTGTCTGCGGTGATCTTGGAGCCCAGGAAAATAAAATCTGTCATTACCTTCATTTCTTCCCCATCTATTTGCCAGGACACTTACACAAAAATAAAGCTTTACAGAATTTCACTAATTGTCTGGTCTTTGTATTATATTGCAGGGACACAGAGCAACATTGCAAAAAAACGAACTGCACAAATACAACAAAGCCTGAATGCGATTTTGATAACAAGCATTTTCACACAGTCATTTTACGTGTTAGGGCTCAACAAGGGAAATTAAAATCTGCCTGGACTAAAACAGCTTCCTTTCAGCCCAAGAGAGACAGTATGTTTCTTTCATTTGATTTCCATGCCATTATAAAGATGTGATTATTTTTGTGGGAGAAAAATTAAAGGATACCAACTGGACTTACTGCAGTATGAATAGGAAAGTCTTGTGGCACCTTAACAACTAAGGGTTAGATCTAGTTTTAAGCTCAGTCTCCTTCCCATAACCATCCCTTCATTTCCTCTGCTGCCAAAAATGCTACATGGAGAATCAGAAGACCCTGCTGTATGGGATGAGATGGCGTGAGGGGTATCTCCAAAATCAAGCAGAGTAGCCTTCCACAGGCAGAGCCCTAACTTTTAAGGAAGGAAGATCCTGAATCAAACCCTAACATTCTAGTATAAGCTTTCAGGGACACTTGTATTTCATATGAAGTCTTTTCCATGAAAGCTTATAAGCCAGAATAAGTATGTTACTTTTAAAATGCCACAAGATTCTGTGAATTTCAGTACAAAAGGTTAACATCACTACCCACCTAGAAATACAATATGAACAACCTTATATTTCAGTTTGTAGAGGCATGCTGGTACTGCAATAGCTATTTGTTAGGCTGTATTCCTGCATCTAGGCTTGGCCAGCTGAATTGTCTGTTGCACTTTTCTGAGTGCAAGAAACAATTCAGCTGATGTTAGATACTGTGGTGGAGAAAAAAGCAAATGAGAACTTCATCATATGCCAGTATGTAATAAGTTTGCTCTAGAGACAAATCAGAAGAACACCTATCCTGACCTATGCGCAAATAAATCTTACATGAAGAAGAATATTTGTGTACACAGCAAGACACTTTTCTGATTGCCCAACTGCTGTTGTCATCATGACTTTTCCAACCTTATGACATTTTATTCCAGAGATTTCTTGCAGTGTTGAAGAACACAATCTTTTTCCAGCCCTACAACGGCTTATTTCAGTTATTTAAATGGCAAATGGCAGGAAATTCTACATTCCTATGTGAATGCAGTCCTGCTGTTTCTCTTGACGTCTACTAATACATACCACTCAGAAGGTCTTCTTGTTCATATAGTAGGTGGAAGATATTGGATTGTGTTTAATCAAAATTATAAGAAATATGTTTAACTGATATTTGCTTGACTTCGCCTGTTTTAGCTGTTTTGGGACCTCCAAGATCAATAACTATAGTCACAGAACCTGGCTTGCTTGTTGTAAGGTTCTTGCCTCCATTTGACCATACATCAAATTTCACTGCCTTTGGATATTCAATAGACTACTGGGATAGTTCAACACATGAAATAGTAAGTACTTGCCTTTTCTTGACAAGCTGGTAGTGGAAGAATATCTGTTCATGACACTGACACACAGATGTATGTGCCTTAATGCAACTGTAGTTTTTGTCTAGTTACAGAAATTATTCTAATGAGAATCATTTGGACTCATTCAGTGGAAGTTTCTGAAAATAATGTTTTGTGAATTAACATTGTCTTGGAAGGCCTCACACAAGAGAGAGTGATCATCAAGTCTGGGGGAACTCCCAAGATTTGTAGTAGTACAAAAAACTTTGTAGGAAAAAACCTTCAAAATTGGAATTTGGAATTCCAAAATATAGTATGCTCAGTGAGCATGAAATTTTGATGGACTCTTGAGGAAAAAATGGGAAGCAGGGGTGAAGATGGATGGAATAGAGTAGCTGGTATTCAAACCAAGCATCACTTAACACTGCAGTATTTCATTGTAGGTCCTACATTGTAACATACAAAAAAGCTCACTGAAGCTTTACAAATGCTTGTGGAATTCATTCTTGTCCAGTTACATCATGGCACTTACATGTTAAGAGGTCATTTCGCTGTACAAAAGGCAGTCCTTAGGGTGCTTGGAAAGCTTCACAGATTAATCTTCCTGTGTACTGAAGAATCCAAACCTTGATGGAGAGCTACATGTAGTCTGAGAAATTCTTACAGAAAAAATGGCAAAGCTGGCTTGGAAAGTCCCAAGGAGCAGGTACAGGAAAGTTGGCATTAATGTGGGTTGGATAGGCCAGCTTTGAGCCTCTTTAATTTGGGGAGGGTGGGGGTATCAGATGCACTGTAAATCCTTGAGAAAGTAAGTAGGAACAGCTCAAAATGTATTTATTAAATTTACATACCACCCATCAGCCTGAAAGTCTCTCTAGATGGTTCACAACAATAATGAACTAAGACATTAGGCCTCTTTGACAGCATGCCAATGTCACACTGTTTAAGATATTTTGAATGTAACTTGTACTAGTCACAAAATATTCTAGAGCTAGTTCTATAGAATTCAATGAGACTTGTGCAAAAGTTTTCTAGATGAGTGAACTGTAAGTTTAAACTAGAATATCACTTCTCAATCTAGTTAAAGCGAAACTGTGACGCTTATATGACATAGATGTCAAATTAATTTGGTTACATATTGCCATATAATAAAGCTATATTTTTCCCATCTTCCTACTGCACAGATGACAAAATACACAGATGATCTAGAATACAGCTTCACAGATCTCAAAGAAAGGACAGAATATTGCTTTCAGATAAAAGCAATTCTTGTTCAGGATAAAAGACCAGGACAAAAAAGTGATCGTCATTGCAAACAAACTGCAACTTCTGGTTTGTATTTTTTTTCATAAATAATACTGGCATGGCTGGCTTGGGCATGCTGGGAGTTGTAGGAATTTTTTTTCTGTCTAAAGATCCTTTAGACTGTACTCTTAACTTCTCTGTCATTAAACTGAGGTGGATTTAAGGAAATAGATTACATTATTTTTTTAAAATTTTTAGAGCTAAAATAATATCACTTAATCACTCAGGTAGTTAAAGGAATTTTCAGCAGCTAAAAACTGTCTTGAACTATTCAATTGACAAATATAAAATATGTAGCTATGGATATGTTGTGTTCTGTATTTCAAAAACTGCAGAATATGAATTCTGTTGTGCCTAATGTTTGTAAAGAATCACTGTGTAAATGGGCACAGGGGACAGGACTGCAAAGTTGAAACCAAGTCAAAAGAAAGTCCCCTGTTCCAGACTGTTTGAACCCTTACATTTTCATGGTTTGTAAGGTTCATTTCAGATGTTTCTTATACAAAAGGTGCTTTTGTGTAAGATTTAAAAGTATGAAACCAGTTTTTATTGCACATGACCATCAGCATGTTGTTTTCACACTGTCTCCTGTGCAAGATATTGCCCAGTATGTGAAAATGTGAAAATGTTCCTTAAACATTGTCAGGAATCATCAGATTTGTTCTCCTTTCAAGGATGAGGGGTAAAAATTTACTTTTTACATTTGTTGTTGTTTGGTGCAGGTTACACTTGCTTTTTGTTAGTTCTGCCCAGATTATGGGATACTTTTGCTTCACGATGAGACTGGAGGGTGTAGGTTCTTATGCCCTAGACTATGACAAAGCAAAACAATATTGCTGCCTTCCCTTTCTTCCCCCCCTTCAAACTGCTGAAGGGGGGAAGATAGTCTAAAACTGCAATGATTGAGAAAAAATCTACTAAATGCACAGAACATGCTATAGTCATAGCTATAAAGAATAAATCACTGATGTGCTTCCACTGTCAAATGTATTTAGACTGCAAACAGAAGAGTCAGCTTGCCACCCCAGATGGTCCATACTTTACATTTTTTTGTAACAGCATAGTGGCATCCCTGCAGGAAGCCCTGTGTGCAATTTGCTCCAAATAGTGCCTTCCTTCTTTCTCTAGGTTCTATGTGTAAATTCTCTTTCAGTTTCCCTCAGCTTGAGGGACATTTCAGTTCCTCACAGAAGTACCTTGCTGGCCAGTGCTCTCTGTTTGAACTTATTATGAAACCTTGGTTGCAACATTTCATAGCCTGTTATCCAAGATTATTGAGAAATGTCCACATTTACATTCTTGGGATATTCTAATTAATTTGAGAATAATATGTTAATATTTGTGAATGTCCTTTTCTCTTTCAGTGGCAACAACAATTATCTCTGTCACATTGATATTTGGATGTGTGATTTTTATATATGTTGCAATATTTTTGTGCCTCATAGTTATTCGAAAGTATCGAAGTAAAATTAAAATATTTTGGCAGGCTCCTCTAACTATTCCATCTCACTATGAAGAGGTATGCACACTGATTTCTGATGATTAAAAATAAGTGTGATTATAGCAAACTGCAATTAGCATAGGATTATGATTTGATCCACAATGCAACTGCATATAGCTGTACTTTGGAATGTTAAGCAAATTTCCCAGCCCTTTCCTTCACAGCCATCTCCTTGCATAGCTGGAGTTTGGACACCACATGTTTTACCTGCTGTATGTACTTGTGACAAGTTTGAATTTATTATGACAATATAACAAGTTGTAAAACAGCTGTTATTCAGTTGGGCTCAGTTCCTTGCTTCGGCACAGAGGAAATGGCATATAGTACCAGTGGAACAGTGGTATAATGGTCAGTTTTGAAGTGCAGATGCTTATTATGATAGTTTCCACAGCTACACCCCCAAGGAGAGTCCACATTTTCAGGCTGCTGAAAATTATCTGTAGCAACAAACCAATTCTAGCAATTTTGTCTCCTCCATAAGAAGGTGTTTTGTAAAACTGATAGCAATTGTTCTAATTGAAGGTCTAATTGTTCCTTCAAACCCAAGCTACCTAAAATAGTACTATTAAAACACAGATGAGTGCATTTGCTTAAAAAATTAATTTTCATTCAGAAGCGAAGAATCGCAACTAAGCTTCTGGGAAATGGAGAATTCTCAGGAGCATGAACATTGAATCAAGGCTTCATGGTTTGAATTAAGCAGGAGCTCTGGTTTACTTTTTGAAGATGGAGCAGTTTACTGCAGTTGGATCTTCCAAGGAGATTTGAACTGCAGAAGGGGGCAGGGTGTGATATTATGGGCTGCTGCTTTGTTTTATCCTGAGTAAGCACTCAGATAGGGTTCTGCCCAAGATAATACTTAGCAACAAATTCCAGTTTGAAGCAGTCATCACTAATTTATGAATGTGGGGGAGTTACTATTCTGTGAATACATGTCTATGCTCAAACCCTGGGTTTAAATGTAATTTGGTTCCTGTTCTTTACATGTTTGCCATTCCATTGCTCCTTTTCAATTTGTCAAATAGATAAAAATTTTACTTAGTATTTTAGTAGCTTCTTTTTCAATGAACTGATAACATAAAGAATGCAATTATTTTAGAAAAATGCATTTGTGGATTTGATGCAGCAGAATGTTCCTGACTGCATGCTTTTACTTTCTTCTCCATTGTGAATAGTTTCCATTCATTCCTTTGAGAAAAAGAGTTATGTCCTGCACTTGGGTGTTGCTGCAGTGAAGTCTAGTAGAGAATCTGTTCTCCATTTTAAGCCTTAACAATCTAATACTTTGGGTTTTTTTTAGGATTTAAAAAATTCTGAAATGATTATGGATGAAGAACTCCAGAATTGTGCAGGAGAAGACACTTGGGACACTTTGTCAGTTATCACCAATGCAGAACAAAGTCAAACTCTGACAGCTTCACTAATGAAAATCAACAAGTAGATTTATTGAAAGCTGAAGAATCCACTTGAGGCTAAACCATATTGTTCACTTGTGAGATTTCACTAGATAATTGTTTCAGTGACCTCTTTTTGAAGAACATCCAGCTGCAAAGCATGCACTCTCCATGTCAATTGGAAACAAACACAAAATATGCAGTAAGGGATCCCAGATATTATGGATTGATATGGATCTATTTGAAGGCATCTCAAGTGACTTGAAAAGGCTGCTTTATTTCCTGTCTCATATTCTGATGAGTCACCAGAGAACAGAGGTACTTTCCATCAGGATGACTGCATGATGACTCACTGCAATATACTAAAACCTTGAAGAACAGAAGTCAGTTTTAACATGCTATTCAGCTAATGAAACAGCTTGAGACTGTAGTGCTGCATAGAAACACAAGTGCAAAGAACATGCACCAATGATCTCATTTAAGCCCATCTACAGATGTGATATTAAAGTATGTTATTTCAATGTTAATGCAGGAGCACTGGTGCTGAATTCACTTCCAGACTCAGTTAAAGGGCTTTATCTTTTAATTACTGTGGCTCTACATATCTTAAGGAGGGCCTACTCCCAACTTCTCACCCATTCATAGTTGTCATCTGCATTTTTTCCTTTATAGAAGACCTGAAAACCACTGAACCTCTTTATTGAAGCAGCCACATGATAGAATACCTTTCCTGAAGCAATTTAGCTACTACCTTCACTTTATAAGTTCCACTGAAATTTGAAACTTTCTTTTTTTAAATGTATTTTTGAGCTCGTGTGCATATTTACTATTTGATTATGTACTGAATTATATGTGGTAGTTTTCTAATTTTAAATGGAAGAACCATGTATTGCTAATTGTTTACATTAGGAATCAAATTGCAATCAAGGCTGCTGGAGTAAGATTTGATGTATCTACTTAGTGCAAATTGTAAAGGTTTTTTTCCTTTCCATTCATTTTATTAGGGAATGGAACATTTAACTTGCTGCTTATGCCAAAACAAGACAGATGGTGCTGTTGCTGAATTGCCAATGTCTGAGTAGGTGCAGCAATATTACTGTAATAAGTTTTTGTGCAAATCACACTTTTAAAACATTTCATGTAGTTTCCTTATTTTTTAAAAAGATTATTCCTTTAATTAGAGAGACTTGACTCAAGCAGTTGGCATTATTCATATCATCTTTACTTCCATGCCTTGATCACCCTTATTTTGTAGATCTGGACAAATATAAGTAAGTAAAGTGGATTTTATAACTCAAAGACCAGAAGCTAACAAGTTAATTGGTTTCTGAAGATTCTGGGCCAGTTCAGATATCACAATAAGCCATGTAAAGGATTAGCCACCATGAGTGGGTTGTTTACTTGCCAACCCACATTACTCCCCAGTGGAGGATAGGGTACTCTGACTTGCCATGGTTTGTGTCACCCTTAGTCCTCCAGCCCACTCCTGACACTTATCCCATGGGAGTCTGTTGTAAAACCCTTCCTACGTCCTTAATCCTGTGAAGTGGACACAGTAGACAGGCACATCTGTACTTATCAGGGGGCAGGTGGAAAAGTTATAATCCCTTTTGCACAGTTCACATTTACCAGAAAAGCTAAGTAATTTCTCCAAAAAGGAATTGGGATGGATGGGAGGAGCCAACTTCATTGTAACATCTTGCATTGACATCTGTCAGTTTCCTCCCTACTTTCAGAACTTTAATTGAACCCAAACTCATAGCTGTGGTTGAACAGGATGGAGGGATTGGGATGGGCAGATGCACCTGCTGTTAATTGATCCAGGACAGCTAGGCTTCTATTTTTCAAGGGTATTGTATTAAATAGTGAGAGAAGAGTTGTATCATGCCCTTTTGCAGTATTTTCAGTGGGTCCATGAACTACCAGGTACGTGGGGCTGATGGTTCAGAAGCCTTCTCTGCAACAAACCTTTCCAGAGGAGTGATTGGGGGGGGGGGGGATGCAAACTTAAGCCTAGGGGTAGTAATTACTTTGAAGAAAGCAGGTATCATTGGGTCATGTAAGGTATTACCCTGTAATGCCATAAAGCAGCATATTTTGATAGCTGTACATGGCAAATAAAGAATAACTAGTGTAATGTATTCTTTTCAACAAAGTTTATGCAATTAAGAGTACAGATCATTTTAAAGTTATAAAACAAATATTTTACCGTTTTTATTGGATTTTAAAGTAATTACAATGAACAAACAAGGCAATCTAGATTAATAAGAGATTTAAGTGCAGTCTGATGATGAAATCAGGTACAAAATAAGAGTGAGATAACAGGACAACTCTTAGCATAAGTATTTGCTTCATCGTCTGTCCTCTAAAGGCTCTGAAGACACAAAGATCATTTCAGAAGATCAACACTACCTGGCCCTTTTAGTTTCTAGGTGTGGGGAGAAGTTCAAAAGCATGCAAGGTAGAAGGGCTTGGAATAGATCCTTGGGCAGGACCTCCAGTAATCAGAATGTAGAGCACCTCTAGCTCACCTGATTCTTCATCATTCTCCCTACAAACCTTTCTTGCCAGAAATAGTCAGGGACTGCTAAATTATGCAAACAATGCTATACACAATTTGATTTAGGGGTACAAAATACCAGCAGTCCTTATTAACATGACATTGCACTAGTATACAAGTTCATTTGTACAAAGAAATTTTACAAAAACTTTGAAAATATTATGACAGTCTTGCCAAAAGAAATGAATTGAAAAAATATAATTGGGTTCTTCTACCTTCCCTTTATTTGGACTCTAGCAAATCATGGCTAAAGAAACTTGACAATCTTTCTAGGAGTTTCTAAGATAAATGGAATCTCCTTTGCTCTGTATATTGGATAAGCATGAAAGGAGATTTTCCACTAAAATCTATATTTCTGTTTATGTGTAAAATTATATCTGAACTGAACCATAAATGATCAGACTTTTGGGGGATGGTTTTTAATACTAAAACCCACTGAAGTTCACACCAATAATTCTGTTACAACTTGCCAAACATACTACCCCTCAGTCTTAAAATGTTTTTTGTCCATCCCATTTTAAGGCATGCTGTGCTAGCAAATGAAGCGCTTAAGATCTTGGTGCATTTTTCATACCTGTTTCATGCCTTTGTTCAGAATAGATTTTGCTATAGTAGGACAGGATATATTATGCAATAGTAGAACATTCTTAGTATTTGGGAACTAGTGCTAGGTGAAGTTTTAGAATATGGTGCCAGATAATACAGTTTGACATCAAATTTAATTTTTTCTCATGCAGTGCAAAATGACTGTTTTGAGGTATCTTGAAGAGACAAGATTTTTAAATCTTTTTAAATCTCACTTCCTAATCAGAACCTTCACCCTCTACTAAATGTAGCACGAGAAGCTAACTAATCTTGTTCTTAGGATAAACATGTAATCTTGAAAAAGCTATGAACCCCTTAAAACATTCACCATATATAAGAGCAGAAAGACCTGCCAACTGCAATGAAAATTTAACATTCATGTTTGTATATTATAGATAGCCATAGTATATACATATACACAGATTTGTTCTATTGAAAAGGTTGCTACATAGAACAACTTGAAAGAGAATATTTAAATCATTTCACTTTCCAAAAATAAGAAAACATACAAAATATGTAATGCAGTGAGTTTGACAAAATACAAAACAACCAAAATGTAACTTATATTTACATAAATGTGTCATTAAGGAGGGTAAAGAACAGATGTACTCTTAAGCCCACAATTCTTCTGTTCTTCCAAATTTGTAGATAAGGGTACTATGAAAATAGAAGTTTAGATCTGTTAAGTCAGACAGTATTTCAACCTTCAATTAAAATTACACTGGTCAACTAAGCAAATATTAAGAGTACATGTAAGTAAATGAACATCACTAACTTTTAAGAGTGAAAGCATAATACACTGAAATGTCCTAGGATGTGGTACTGATTTCAATTAGGGCATGAATTGCATTCCAAGTGTATAGTAGGTGTTTCTGAAGGCTACCTAGTTTAAAGGTAAAGGTTTCCCCATGACATTAAAGTCCAGTCGTGTCTGACTCTTGGGGGCAGTGCTCATCTCCTTTTTCTAGTTGAGGGAGCCAGCGTTTGTCTGCAGACAGTTTCCACCAGGGTGCATGGAACGCTGTTACCTTCCCACCGAAGTGGTACCTTTTTATCTACTTGCATGTGTATGCTTTTGAACTGCAAGGCTGGCAGGAGCTGGGACAGAGTACGGCAGCTCACCCATCTGCGGAGTCGAACTGTTGACCTTTCAATCAACCAGCTCAGTGGTTTAACCCACTGCGCTACCACATTCCTAACAGATGCAGGAAATAGGAAGGAGAATGCTAACACACACTTAGCTGTAGAATTTTCCTACAGTAGGCTCCACACAGACACAAAGCCCAAATGTGTGATGCGCAAAGAAGAGCTAAAGCTTACAAAAATCAAGCTGTTTGTAACTGTCTGTAACAAGCTTCAAATAAAGTCTAATATTATCAGTATTTACTTTTCCTTCTGCCAGGAAAGAATCCACTTCCAAGGAAAATGGACAGATCAGTTCTAGACAGGATAATGTTACTTCTAAAGTTCCAAAAGTAGGATATTCACAAAGGAAAGGAATTGTGAAAGTGCAGTATTCACATCAGCTCATTATTCCAGTTAGCATACTTTATGGAGGAGGGATGCACGGTCCCACAATCATTTAACCTAGTGTTTAAAAGGGCAGTGTATTAACATTTTTTGTCTAGAAACTATGATTACTTATTTTTAGCTTGCTAAGCTTTCTGCACTGATGAAGCATGAGGCAGTCCCTTGCCCACTTACCACTGAAGAAATACAACAAAAAGTAATAGGATGTAAACAGGAGAGGAAAACAAACCTATTTTGTTCATACATGTATTACTACAAGTGCTTTGATTCAGCCCATATCAGTAATCCATCCTTTGCCTTGTGTGTTCTGTTGAAACAATTAGACTCTAGATTTTTATTCTGACAAAGAGGCACAGAACAGAAAGGAATTGTATAATGTCAAACTACTAGGAAGCTAGTATTTTTTTGAAAACTCAGGTTTATTAGGGCTGCAAAAAGATTTATAATGCAAATAATCTGCAGGGTGCTAGTAAATAACATAATGGTTTACAACTACACACATGTAGCTGAGGGTAAGCCCTGTCCTTGTCGCTTGCTTACAGATGCATGTATTTTATGCTTGAAAGAGAAATTTGCTTGATTTTTTTACACCTATTTAGAACACACCGAATTCTACCATAAGAATTGTGCAAGTATTAAATATCTGCATATTTAACAGAACTATACAAGTTTTAAAGCCTTACTTACCTAAAAAATATTAAAGCATTCTGAAAAAACACTGCTAATCCTGGGTAGACATTAGTATCTACAAAATAAAATGCAAACAATAATGAGATAGGTCTTCAAAATTTGGCAATACAAAGTTATCATGTTGACATAGCTAAGACAGTAGCATATCCAAGATATTGGATACTGTTAGTCACTTTCCACTTCAAGTAGGGCTTGACTTCAGAGAGCTATATAGTGGAGTACAACACTTCATCCTAAAAACTGCACTACTGCAAAATAACATACTGTGCTTTGCAGTTAAGTTGCTAATTAGCTGGAGGTGGGCGGGATCTCTTTTGAATGTTGAATTTTTGAATAAATTTCTGTAAGTAGACATTCTACTAAATTAAAAAACCTTAGTATTAAAGGTCTACAATTACAGGTTGAACTTTTAAACCATGTTATTTTTCTGTTTTCTAAGCGTCTTGTTTAACCTTTCTTCCAAATATAGTAGTTCCTTTTATTCACTGCTCCAGAATCAAAAGCAAGCTTTGACTAATTGGTAGGAAGACCTCTGGCATTTTCTTTCCAGTAGAAGCACATGGTGGCAGAGGCTCTTATGGTGAAAGGAAGCCACAGAACCCTTTCTTCTTGCCATATGTGTAGTCTAAGCCTGCTAGGCAGAAGAGGAACAAAAAGTCGCTTCTCTTCCAAATATGTCCTCACCTCTGTTAAAAGACACCCATTTCCACTCAGAACATTCCAAATACTCTACACTCACATGGAATAAGCACTAAATATCTTAACTAAATGTATGACTTTTTAAAACTCTGTGGCGGTAGCTGGAGGCTCCCATAGGATACAATCTATCTGTACTCTTAGTCACTATAAAGTTCGGTTCAGGCCAACACAGTCCCCCTTCCCTTTGCTACCATAGCTATGGTATCTACTTCTGCATAATTTTTGCAGCAGTATGCTATTTCAGGTATCTAATACCTGAAATAGACTCTACCACAGGGAACCTGGCCAACATGTCTTTTCCATTTGGCTATTTTTTAAAATGTACCAATATATTAAAATATGTAACTAGTAGCTGTTACTTTTATTAAGGCTAGATTATCACTATCTGTTCCTAACTGTTTATTTTTACATGCTGAGCACTATCTTGAGCATTTTTAAACAGGAAATCAGACAAATGTGGTTGATTAACAAATAACATTTTCCAGTGTATTTGCTAAATAATTCCAAATGACCAAAGTATGATCCAGCCAAAGTGAAATACTTTTAAGTAGCACTTTTTCAAGAAGAGCTATAACATTTGTTTCATTTCAAAAAAAGAAAAATATGTTCTTCAGTTTCATTAAAATAATGGTAAAATACATTCTTTCTTCCATGGTTAAAAGGTAACAGCAAATAATGCTTACTTTGGGTAACATATGCTCCAAAAAGGATCCACATAGAAGCAATTAGTGAGCCAAACATCAACATGAAGCCAATGAAGAGCCAGATTCGAGCACCTGTAAGAACATATTAAGTCAAGCACTGTGGTTAACCTTTCTGTAAATTGTGAAAGGGGGTCACTGAGAAGTAATATTGCTGATCATCTATCTCACCGTGAAAAACAGAACAAGGCTTACATTCATCATCACAATGGGTCAGTTTGCACAATGCAACAACCTGCCCTGTAAATAAGCTGTGCAGCATGGATTTTTTGTGGAAAAATATATCACAAATTTCCTTTCCAAGTACTTCTCAGCCATGAAATCTGCATATATTTCTCCATCAAAATAATGCTCACATTTTCCAGACATATAAAAAACCCTTATTGGCTACAGAATACAAATGAGTAAATCATTCTTTCTCATGCAGCTGACTTGACAGTAATCTCTCTCTCTCTCATCACATCTCTGCTGCAACAATGAAATGGGCAGAGCAAGCGTACAAGCCATCTAAGCTTCATGGAAGATGGCAAGATAAAGCTGTGATAAACTGATTTCCAGAATTCACCAATGAAGATTCTACTTACCAGTTGGTTGGTTAATTTTGAAATTTTCTCATACCTTCTAAATTTTAGAAGGCTCTAGAAGGTTCCAGAAGTCATTACTATAAATGTTTTTACTAACTCATCATGAGTTAGTGCTTGTGAGTACCAACAGCAGCAGCATAGCATCTTACTTTGTGGTACAGAATGTTTCATCATGCTTCATCTGCTGCTTTGAGATAAGAATCAAGTACAAGGTTATTTGCATACATAGGAGTGTCCTCACCTGTTCTTCCTAAACATCCATCACCATAGCTGTCTCCTCTCACCTGAGCATTTGATACAGCATTTATCCTGCAACATGAAAAGGACAGTTTGGTTTTTAATTAAATTAGGTAAGCCCTACACACTATCTAAAAGATAGGAGCTTCATTGTTCTGGACACACAATATAACCTCTCTCCAGTTTGTAAGTAATGTTACTTCTCTTTCGAGCCACAGATGCAAAAACTGAACAGATAATGAAGCCAAAATGCTGCAACAGGCAAAATTCAAAAACTGAATGTATTTGATGTGTACTCAGGTACTAGAGCTATACATTTTGTTTAGTAATTTGCCAACCATAAACCTTAGATGTTTTCTAATGTGTCCAATGATAAGAACGAAGGAGTTGCACTATAATGCCAACAAGTAAAACAAAGTAATTACTTCTAGTAAAGCAGATAACTGGAATAAGGACATAGTACATAAGAAAAAATGCTGGTATATGGCAGGAATGGGCCCTTGAAGACAATAGGAAAACCTTTGTTTTTAAAAGGAAATCCCTTCATCTCCTTGTCCTCCAAAGCAGAGAAAACAATGAGATACATGTGCACATATCAAGCATTCAAAGGGATGAGCAATGAGAGTAGCATGCAAAAACAAAAAGAAAAAAGAATACAAAGAAAAAGCATTTCATTTATAAGCTCTCTGCCATTTGACAGGCTACAAATAACTGATATTCTACAGCAGAGAACTGTCCTTGTACACACTTACATGAAAAAAGCTAGAGTAGAAAACACTCCACAAGTATGGAATGCATGGTTCATTTCTTCTGGATTCGGATAAACTACTGCTGCATCTATCATAATCCACCAACCTGTAAAAAACTGTAGAACAGTAGATCATTAGAACATGTCAGAAATCTATAGAAAGGTCACCAATATAACTAAACTTGCTTCTTCCCACCATTCTATTAGACTCTTTAATCATACAGGTCCCAGGAATCTGCTCCTATAAAGGAAACCAGGCTTATGAGCTGAACAGACACATTATTTTAGATAACAGATGGAAAAAAATTAAGTCATATCTTCTAAAGCAGATGTAGCAGAGATGTTTTGACCTACATCTCCCATGATTTCTCATCACTGGCTAGACTGCCTAGGTTTTTTGGAAGCTCTTCAACAACCTTTGTTGAGACTAGATATATCCCTATACCTGGAATAATATCAAATTAACTTTCAGTGCAAATGCGCTGATCTCACAAATCTAAGTTGTCAACACTATTATATGACAGAAATTTCTTCCAGAATTCAAGAAGAGAAACCCCATAGCTCCCAGCTTTGTAGTTCATATGACTCTCAGGACATTTTCTAAGGAAAAAAGGTCACTTACATAGACATCCCTCACCTGGTCAACCTGCCAAGTACTGTGGCTCATTTCAAACACAGATGTGCATATACATCAGAAGACATGCTTATGGCATAGCCAAACTGTGAAATATTAAATATGATTTATTCCAGATGTTTCACTAGAAATTACTTGTAGTTCAGTATAAACTACTGTCTAAAGCCACAACTTTATGCATACCGATCTGGTCACCACCTTATTTAAAATGGAAGCACATGAAGCAGCCTCAACATAATGGATGCAGTTGAATATGTATAGTACCCACTCAGACGTTGCCATGTTATGTGAATCTGGCAAGTATGGGTTATCCATGGGTTAAACAGTATTTGCATAACCAATGAACTATTTTATCAATTAACCTTTGCAGAACCCATGGTTACTAGGTTCATACAACAGCCCACCACAGGTAAAATAATCCTTAAATATAACCCATGGTTGGTTGTTGTGTCATAGAGACAGCTGCAATGGAAATTTTGGTTGATAAGGACTGTAACATTCTCATTGTTGCCCAAAACTTCAATATAGAACTGCCTGGAAATACAAGTTGAAAAATTTTATCAATTCCAAGCAGAAAGTTCTGGCAAATTAAAATTTGACATTAGATTCTGGACTAGCATACATACAACTATGAGAAATGGTTTTTGCAGTGTCAATATGAGAAATATGAGCACTAATCATCACCTGCCTAATATATACTATAAATATGATACTGACAACAGATCTGCCAACAAGACTGGCCTCTTCAATCCAAGAAATACAAACAGAAATTAATTCAAGCCATAAAAGAGATGCTGTAGGGTCTTACAAAAACTGAATTATTTGCCAGGAGATACAAGGAGTTAAAATAAGAGACAGATGAACTATTACCCTTAAATAGGCTATTTTTTATTTGCCTCAAGACTTACCAAAACCCCAGCTACCACAGAAGCAACTGTATTTCTTCTTTCACTCCAATCAATACATTCACATTCAGGCCATCGGAAATTGTCTAGGAAGCCTGCCATTTTTCAAATTCAGTTTGGCTTCTTCACTGTATATTTACATTCAGTTTTCATATGCTTTCAAGTCCTAAACTAAGGAAGGGGAACATAAACAAATGGAGTTAGTTTCATATCATGAAAGTTGAAACCAATTTTACAAATGACTGACTTGTACAGTCAACTTGTAAGCCTAGTATCCTTTAAAAATATCAAGTTTAATGTTGGAAGTCAAGTTGACAGTTAATAGAGAAAGCCTGGAGAATGTTCATGGAATGGATGAGATATGAACTGGAGCTTTCTGCCTCTCACATAGTAAATATGATACACTAGATATGAATTCCATGGAAGGTATAAATGTCAAATGGAGTCCCACAACTTGGAACATACAAACACATAAAAATAGGGTACATTAAGGGGGAGCTGTTAGATAATAAATGCACGACTTCACATAATATTACTCTGCATCAGAAGTGCACTATGCACATTTACTTGGGAGCAAGCATCACTGAACACTGTGGGGTTTGTGACAAATGGAATCAGAGGCACCAGAAACCTGTATTCAAATGCCAGTTAAAACAGTGGCCTTCTAGTTAGCTTGCAGCAAGGAAACTTAATTTTTCTGTTTTCTTCCTTCACATAATTCATGAGCATCAGGGCTACAGTATTTTATTAAACTTTTAGAACTGAATGTGCCAGCTTTGGGGTGTCACCACACTACTCATCTAAGACTCCACTAGGGGCCACACACTTGCCATTCCCCATTGCCACTGCATTTGCCACTAAAATTCAGCAGCCCAGAAGAAGCAAAAACAAACAAAAAGCAGAACAGCGATTTTGCTTTAAAACAAGCGACATGAAAAACACACATCCTTTTTAGAAACAAAAACTGATGGTTGCCCACCCTTGTTTTAGAAGATGATGCTTTCCTTCTGAGGTTTTTTACAAGTGATACTATTTTAAAAATTAAACTACAGGGAAATCAAAGACACACTTTTAATATGAGCAAGCACCTTTTGGTCAACTGGAAAGCTGCCTGAGATTAGCTGAGTAGATTTTAAACACAAATATTTATAAATAGTACAGAAAGAAATAACTGTTTTTAAAGAGGCATTCCCTTTGTGCAAAACAGTAGAGAAATGATGTCTACCATGACATACACATCATCTAAATACAGAGTATGTTTTTTTTTTTGAAAAGTCAGACTTAAAATGCAAAGAGGAAATTAGCCTAGTATTTAATTACAGATTAAACCCAACAGCATTCAAATAAAATCTGCACAACAACACTGTTCAGAGCTGTTTCAGACTATTAACTTGTAGGAAATATTCTTCACTGAGGAATCCTAATTAATAAAGAATAAACCTCAGACTCCTATTTTTGTGGGCTCAGCTCATATAAAGAGCTGTAAAATAATATGGAACAGCACATTCTATTGTAGCAGTTTTGAAGGGACAGCATTCTGATTATAATGCTGGAAGGAATAAAAATTCAAGCCCAACCCACAGCCCTGAGAAAAGACTCTCTACAGAGCAAAGGTCCCTAGTAACTTACCCCCCATCACAATATTCCATCACTTAAAATGAAGAACAGAAACAAATAAAGATATATCTCAAGCAAATTAAACCATGAAGAGATAAAGACAAAAGACCTAAAAGACCCATATCTTCCAGCATGGAGAATGCTTTTCAAAAATACTGTCAAAACTATGGAAATATTGTATACACTGTATCATGCAGGGTGCCAGAAGTGCCACTTAGTACATATTTATTTTAATCCAGACTAAGTTATAATTAACCTTAGAACCAATTGAAATCAATAACCAATTCACACTGATTTCAATGGGAATCAAATTTAGCTAATGCAAGCTGGATTCAACTCATTGCATAACTCACTTATATGTTCATATATTAAAAATACATATACCCAATTCTTTCAATTTTCAACATCAAAAATGAAATGATCATTGTGGTCAGATATACTGCAAGAACACTATCAATACTACACACATACAGCCGATTACAGTTATGCCATACTTACAATTGTATGTATATATGTACCCTTTCAGTTCCTACCACATCCTCTGTACAGGATTTCTACTATACAAACTAATTCTAATATTCAAGATCTTCCCAAGAACTTTTATTCAGGAATATGTGTCTTATTCATTTTCTACACTATCCAACAACTGAAGTTCTCTAGGTGACTCACAACACCACCATGTTAAAAAATATTAAAACTTCCTAGTGTTACCATAAATTGGAGACAACTTGATCGCACATAACAGCAACAAAGAATTGCCAAAGTAATTTTATTTTGAAAACAATGTGATAGTCTACTGTAAACTAAGCTTGCAAGAATGACATAAAAACTTAACAGAAGCTCTGCAGGAAAAATGAAAACAAAACCCTATTCACTCTCTGGCTACCTGCATGGATTTGACTGGGGGAGAGAATGAAGGGAAGAACTGAGATAGATATAGAAACTTACTAAGGAGGGAAGAAATGAGTTAAATGGACTTTATTAAGTATTTAACTCTTTCACACATACATTCTATCAAAAACTTTATCAAAGCTATACATTTTTTGTCCTTTGCCAAAACAAGCATGCATTTGAAGAACAAATGTTCTTGTTGCCCATGCAATCTCTTACTTCTCTTTAAATAGAACCAAAGTAATTTCATCTAGTGTTCATCTTTATTTAATTGAAATCAATTCTTTGTGTGACTGAAATTACCAGAGTCTCCTTAAAAAGAAGTCCTTCTGCAGTGACTAACAGTAACCAGTCTGGAACTTGGCTTACAAGACATTAAGGGTATTTTCACAAATTTCAGTAAATAGTCAATATCCATTCTGGCAGCTGCTACCAACAGGAAGTGAAGCTATTTGAGAGTAGAAGTTGCTTGCCTTTGGGCTACAGCAGTCTGTGAACATTCGGAGACCACTGCAACTCATCTGTACTGCACTTCCTCTGCTGTTTTCCTGCCTTTTGCCATCTTCTTTCTTCAAGACTAGAGATACAGATTCAAGTTTTTGGTCCTTCCTGAGGACAAGAACTAGCAAGCTCTTTGGTAAACAAGCCCAAAAACAAGAAAACGTTGACCATGAAAGGTAAGCATTTGGTGACGGCACCTTTCTTTAGCAAACAAGCCTATTCCAGCATGGAGATATTCATCTCAGAGGAAAGAATGACTGATTTCAGCATGGCCCCAATCTTCCAAGAAAGGCTCTAATGACTGTCCAAACCTGAGGGTTCTTTACAGTACAGAGCAAGGAAAGTCTTGTAAACCAGAGAACAATCACAAGACCAAGAAATGGTGACACCTGCTAAGGGATAAAGACCGCACTGACCTTTCATCCTCTGTAAAGAGGTTGCTTAGGGATGATACTTCTTGCTTGAAATTTAAGTTTTACTGTGTACTTCCATTCTGTTAACAAACAAGGCAGGAGTGCACCAGCAGAAGCACATTTCAGTCACTGACCAGATATCACACTTCTTCTTTGCTCAATTTTACCCCACTTTTGCCTTTAAGGAATGAAGTCTGCTTAGAAACTGTACTGAGAGACTTACAAAATTGCTCTCAACTACATTCCTGGCCTTTGTCTCACCTTTGCTGAAACTAGGGATTACAATATCTGGTTTTGTCTCAAAATGGAGTTTGTACTACTCACTCAAAAGAGAGCTACTTCATAAAAAAGGAAAGTCACATTTTACTTATCACCATGGCCTGAAATATTAAATGTATTCTAACCATCCTCAGTGAGGCTGAGTGATAAAAACATACTAAAGTAATACAAAATACGGAAACATATAGAATAACATGACTATGCATGCGTACTCAGTAGTAAGACCTAATGAGTTCAGTGGATTAAGGGAAATCAGCACTTCCTGCTAGTACCAAGGTTTCAAATAAAACATAGTTTATATATAAAAAAAATCAAATACAAAGACATGTTTTAATGGAAATAATTTACATGTTCCAATGGAAGTCAAAGTGATACATTATCACTATGCTTTCATGAATATAGTGAAACCCCATACTTTCATATTTTAATCATTGGTTAAACTATTATTATTATTATTATTATTATTATTATTATTACAGCATTTCTATGCCGCCCCTTGCCGAAGCCTCGGGGCGGCTTACAACACAATAAAATACATTGAAGTACAATAGAACGTAATAAATTACCTCCAGTTACATAAATACAAAGAATATGCTGGGATACCCACATAATCATACAAAGTTAAAATTAACAGTATAAAATAAGTGAATAAAGAATATGAATAAATAAGAATAAAGAAAACTATGGATTCCTAAACTCTATTGATCTTATATACCTCATTCAATAGTACTACAGAACTCTCTGTGTTCTATCACATACTTCCACATTTACTTTTTGGGCTGTTTTAAATATTCAAATAGTTAGAAAAGCTTTTTTCTTTTTTAGGCCACCATAACCTGTTTAAAACTGAAAACCTTTGAGCCCTTGGAAATGAGCTGACTCCCCAACAAGTAGTCTGCCTTCCTTTCAAACTTCACCTTGTTTATTTCAGCTTCTAGCAAAAAAGCAGAACTCTTTGCTACAAACATCTGCCTACCAACATGCAATGCACCAGTGAGGAAATCACTACTTTGTCAAACATTTGAACTTAAAAGCAGAAATTAAGGCTTTAAAAGCAGTCGGGGGAATACTGTTAAGGCCTCATTTACATGATGATTTTTACCCTTCACAAGTACCTAAAAGGCTTCAGTCACCGTCACTGAGCGTGGTCTTACAAGTGGAACCGGTTTCAGGAGACTGAGAAGATAAGATGCAGGGGTGCAACCAATTGCTGCTTACTTAATTAAAGTGAAGGGAAGGTAGATGCACCCATGGCTGATGATCCCGTTCTCAACTATTCCCACGAGCAATTTTAATTGCCAAAAAGGCACTTGCGCAAACCGGTATGAGCAGACGAGGCCAAAAATGCATCTATGCGGGTTGGAAGTCTCATCGTTTGGAGAGCGAAAGTGAAAAGAGAACGTGAAGTCAGGGGTGATGGGAGTGCAGAGAGGAAGAGGGGAAAACGAGATGTGTGTGTCTGTAACTGGCAGTTCATGGTCTGTAAGAAACTTTGCAGGTCCCTACCCTTTTTAATTCCCTTGACACACTACGAAGGTCGCTCAACGCACAACACTGGACTAAGAATCTGCCTCCATCCCTGCACTTTATGGTGGCGGGGGGGAGGTTCCTCGTCACGCTAGAAAGGAAACTCGGGGAAAGCAAGCGGTTCGTCGCACATCTTCTCGACTCGTAACCGCCAGAAAAAGGAGGAAACGGGAGCCATTCTGGAGGCCTGCGCCCATTCGTTAAAAATCACCTCACAATTCCGCTCAGGTAAAAAGACAGGGAAAGAAATAGAAGCGGCCGGGGCGCGGGAGTACAATTCACACTGAGCTGCCCTCCCAAGTGCCCGCGCGCCCCAATCCTCAGAGAAGAGGCAAAGAAGCTACGTCCGCCCCACAAGACCCCTCACCTGGAAGAGTCTCCCCTGCTCCATCGACGGCCCCAACCCGGCCGGCAACGCCAGCTAGAAAAGCGGGAAGAAATGACAGGCACTTCGGCCAATCGACATCCCGCAGCACAATGAGGGACGGACTTCTTGTTGGAAAGCGCGGTGATTGGCCCGTGAAGTGGCGCAGGCTCGGCACGCGCACCAAAAGTTATCGCGAAAGCAGCGAGAGTGGCTCCGCCTTGGCCTAGGACTCATAGAGGTCGCTTTGCCAAGGGGAGGTGTAGAGGTGGCTTGTCTCGCTACGCTCAGCAGCTGGGCCAGGTGAGAGCGTTCGCTCGAGGAAAGCCTTGCTGCACGATCAGCTGATCCTAACCATACTGAAGGCAGAGGAAGAAAAGGAAAGACCTAATAAGAGATGGACTTCATAAAGGAAGCCAGAGCCTTGAACTCAGAACGGGGATGTCATGTTTGAAACGTTTCGGAGGGTTTTCATTCATAGGGTTGCCAGAAGTAGGGGACGGCACATCACCACCACCAATTGCAGTTCCAGGGGACGCGAGCATCATACATTGCATCTTTATGCTAGATACAACTGCAGACACCTGCACATTTTAAGCAGTTCCTCCTTTGACTATTGGAACTATATAGGTTTCATATAGGATAATCGGCATTTGAATGTCAAAGGAATGATTTGGTTGAATCGTATTTACAGACTAGCCTCTGGGGTGCTTAATCGGTACCCCAACATACAACATGCTGTTTGTTCTCTATCATTCTCCCTCATACTTATATGGCTTCCTTTACCTTGTTTTTTGTCATTCTTTTTCCACTTCACTGTTCAACAGGCAGTATTTTTTTTACTATCTTAGCCAGCCCATATACTTCCATCATTCCAGCTGCTTCATGAATTTCTGAAAATTGGGAGATACATATAAACATATGAAGTGTTTGATGGTTAGTCACCTAAAGTTTTCTGAATCAACAGAAGGGGCATACAAATGAACATTTTAGGTACTGTTTTTAAATCTTCATATTTATACCTGCTGCTGGCTTTACTTCTGGTTTTATTATGTGCTGCAACTGCTACCTTTCTTTTCATTGGACTTGTACTGTTATCTTTATTGCAATTTTGTATTTTTTCATTTGTACACTGCTCCGAGAACTTAGGTTATTGAGCAAAAATGCAGTCAATAATGGGCTACAATATATTTTCTCATTCCTGCCAATATTGCTTCTTTTCCACAAATTATATGTTGATGCTGGCACTGATGGCATTAGTAACTTCAGAAGGTTCCTCGTACATCTGCCTTACCATATACTTTTAACACAATAATTGTTCCCCATCTGTTGAACAGGTTGTGTTGTGTTGTTATCAAGTAGTTGTCCCCATCAAAAAATAGACCACAAGAGTGATATTAATGGAAAGGAAGGAGAATACTTCCAAAGTTCCTCTTTAATATATTAGAGGAATTTAAACAAATTTCTGGAAAGACAAAAATACAATCTCTGCCAAGTATACTTTTTACTCGAACAGACATAGGTCATGGTCTAGAATTGATATGATTTGGATAACCTCAGATTTAATTCCAGATTTAGTTAGAAGCTGAAATAGATACAAATGTCTGGGCCAATCACAATCCTATAACCATGACCTTGAAAGGAACGATAAAAACACCTAGATGGGCATTCAATTTATTAAAAGATAAAAACTTCAAAGAAGAACTAATGAAGGAATTATTTTTTTCCAAGAAAATAAAGCTGAAGAAACCTCTCTACAAATTGTCTGGGACACTGCTAAGTAGTTGCCCCCAGAAAATGTGAGTTCTGCCTTCCTAGATGCCTTGGCATTGCTGCTGCTGATTTTTCTTCATTTTTGTTTACCCTTTGCTTCCAGCAATGTTAAACATGTCTACCTTTTCCCTTAGCAGTATTTTATTTGGCGTGCAGTTTTAAATTTACTCAGAAGTTAGGTGAGTGTGTATAGAACTGCAGTTTAAGGCATGTTGATAGATCTAATATCATGCTCATCAGCTTTCACTAAACAGGATTTTATTGTTCCATTCAGTAATTGCTATGCTGTCCATTCAGCTGTAATGGAAGCCATTGTGCATGGTTACAAGCCTCTTCAGTCACAGTAGTTGCAACTGGATCGAGTAGATGTTATTGAACCAAACACCCCCATTGTTGGGAATCAATGTTAGCCAGTGCAATTAGCTATCTGAATTTCTTAAGATCAGTGACTGCAGCCACTGCACCTCCCTGGGTGTTAATATTGTGGGAAACTATTCAAAAATACTGTTGATGGTAAAATGGCAAACTAGCACCACTTGTAATTATCTTTTCCTGAAATGCATATTCATAGCCCACTACTATATGGGTTTACTTGGAAGTTCCTGAAAAACCAAGAGAGGAAGGTACATATGTAAAACTAAAACCAATAAGCAGGAATCTCAAGTGCCTATAAAAATTTCTTGTTGCTCAGTGTATTTTGGAAAATGATTTTTTTTTCATCAGGGACCACTGTCTTTGTTAAAGAAATTAAGAAAAGGAAACTTCACCTATTTCCTTCACACAAATGTTCAACAAGACTACACCCAATGGGACTAGATGCTTCTTCAGAGGACTGCAGCTGACTCCCACAAGGCAGGAAGAACAGAGGCAATCTTTGCGCCCCCCCCCCCCCGTTCCTCCATCTCCCAGAGATTAACTTTTCAGCTTTTGAAGGGAAGAGGTTGCAGGAGGCTTAGGATAAATCACATCCTGGTCTCTCTGGTCCCTTCCTAACTGAGCCCATGGCAGCATACCCTTCCTCGCCCTCCCATTCTCCAGGTTAGCTTTTAGAACCGTGGAGAAGCAGTTGCACCATTTCTCAATGCTAGCTATGAAGGGTTTGGGGCCAGATCTCCAATTCCCCCTTACAAGGTCTAAGGAGTTCCTGCCTTGGAAGGGATGTTCTGAGTCATCCTTGCTCAATTTAGGATAGTTGTCTAAACTTGTTTTTATTCAGAGGATTTGCTGGTTTCCCCCACTCCAACACCCTTCTCTTTTGTATCTATAAAATGATGTTGCTTTTTAAAGTTTTTGCTTCAGGTACGAAACTACTGTATAGCTGTTTCTTAGGTGTTTAAGATTTCCAGTTTGTAAAAGTAATTACATTTTCTTTTATCTAAACATTAATTTGACCAACACAAAAATAAAAAGTAAATTAATGAAAGGCTTACTGATATATGTATCTTTATTTCTTTCTATGCTTCCACATAAAGCTCAGTTACTACCTGCTTAAACTGGGGGATCTTGCAACAGTAAGTCGAAAAAACATTTGTCTTACAAAATTAATACAAATCTTGACATATGATAGCAACTATTGGCATAATCTTACTTCAAAATCAGATTCATCCACTTTAAAAAGCTGTTTTTAATATCAGATGCTGTACCACTTTTGTCTTCTGTATTCTGTGTCTCTTTTCTGGCATTTTTTTTAAAAGTGGATATGTAGATCTCTTGGGCACGTGCAATTTCTTTGCTTGCATTAAAATGTACCATCTGTCTACTAAGAATTGGGACAACTAAGTTGAAGTTATTAATTTTTTTGTTCAATACTTTGATATTTTCTATAAATTGTTCGCAAATCTCCTTCCATTGTTTCTCTTTTTGTGGTGTCATTGGATCACCTAATGTACTCCTAGAAGCAACTATATCCTTTCTTAATTTTTCAATTGTTTCCCGTATTTCTTTCTGCAGAAGAATCCATTCTGGTTGGTAACCATTATCTATAAGGATCCGGTTCAGGTTGTGAGTCATAGGATCAATATGCGGACAGTCTGAAAACTTTTGTAATGGTTTTCCTTTACCACTAAGATTATCAAAATCTCCTTTTGCCATAGATTCCTGAATGAGGTCTTCAACCAACCGTTCAATTGCTTGGGTAATTTTTGCTTTCTTGCTCTGCCGTACATCTTTAACTAAGATAGCATCGCTCATAGCAAGTTGTCTCTCTATTTTTTGTTTTCGGTATTCAGTGACCTGTTCAGAAGCCCGATCAACTCTGAACTGCATATACTGTCTTTCCCTTTGACTTGGAGTACCATAACCAATGCCTTCAAAACTTAAATACTGTCTGTGTTGAGGTGTTTTAGGTTTGAATTTGTCGTCTTCATCATCTTCTACCTTTTCTTTTAATTTAATATTCTTAGCTACATCATTGAGCACAACTCTATAGGCATCTTCAATTTGCACAAAAATTGCAGAATCTGCTGTAGGAGATCCACTGTCTGGGTGATATTTCTTGGCAAGATCTCGGTATGAATTTCTGACATCATCCAATGAACAGCCTTCCTGAAGTTGAAGCAGACTGTAAGAATCTTTAATGTTCCTACATCTGTGATCTGACAGCAGTCTATGACCATAGATAAAGTTATGTGGGATTAGATTGTCTTTCTTTAAAACCAATGCTGAACATATCCAGATGCGACATTGTATTTTTCTCAGCAGCACCGCACAAAACAACTTCATAGTTCTTCAGTGCTCCTACGTAATAAATCTGAACAAGTTTAAATGGAACTTAGGTGAATCAGATGTAATAATAGCTAATTTAAGAAGCAGAATATTTTCAGTAAGACAGTTAAGAAAACAGAAGTTAAATGATGTTATATATCTTTGTCAGAGGCCAAATCTGAATTAATGCCACATAAATTAACATGTGGAAGTGCCATTTTTTACTCTGGCCTGGTGTGTCAGTATGATAGGACATTTTTCTTCCAAGAGTGATATTAGGTAATAAGAGCCAACAGAAATGGAACCAAAATAGGATCACTGAAACAAGAGGGACATTTATTTTTTTAAATTTATAAACTGCACGTATGCTCATCAATATGCTCAGGAGAACCACAAGATTTGTAGGAAAAGAAGCTTTTAAAAATGCTGCAAATTCTCAAAAAACAGCCCAATGAGGACTATGTATGCTCAGCAAATGGAAGACATGAACCGAAAAATTATGAGCATCAAATAGGAAAGAAAAATCGGTAAGATGTGCAGTGGAAATACTTTGTGTGAACGCCTTTCAGCTTACTCATTGAGTACAACTTCACTGGCTGACAGGAACTTGGAACAGGAACACTCCTCCCAGAAGGCAAGGGTGCATTGCAAAAGTCCACTGCAGGTCCCACTTGTACACTGTATTTCAGATTTTCAAACTGATTAAAATTAATTACACATGCACTATAAATTGGCTTTCCTCCTAACATGAGCGATAGGTTTTGTTTATTACATTGCAAGATTATCTATCTCTAGGCAAATATAATTTAAAATATTTAAATTTAATTTGTTAAAAGCTGGGTAATTTATTTTTAAAAAATGTTATCACTGAGATCAACTTAAAAACAGGCAGTTTTCTCCAAACAACTTAAGCCCAGCCACCTGACTAAAGCAATAATGAATCGTTATTCCAAATGCAATCTGCCTTTCGTTGAGTTGGAAAATACATTATAGAATCTTTTTAACCAGAAGACAAAAGTTCACTAATACTTTACCTCCCATTCTTGTATAAGAAACGTGAGTATTCCACATGTCTTAGTAAAGCTCAGCTCATCTGGTTTTTTTAAGCCTGTGGAGGAATGAAAATTCCTTTCAAAAATATAATGGATTATCAGCAAAACAAACAGCTGGTACATCAATTTAACCATTCTATTAGTTAAGATTCTTGAAATGTGGGCAGGATTCCTTATCCATTGTGCTGCTGACCTTCTATCTGCCATGATTTATAGTATCTTAATTCTATAAGATTTAAGGGTAAGACATGAAACAAAGGAACTAAAGCAACAAAGCAATCAGCAGACAGATTAAATTGGATTTAAGTTAAATTTATTTAATTTACTCTGCTTAATTCTTAACTTGGAGTTGTGTGTTGTTGTTCTATGTCATCAAGTAGTCTGACCTATGGCAACTCCATGAATGAATGTGCTCCAAAATATCTTATCCTTCACAGTCCTGCTTCACTCCTGTAATCTCAGTGTTGTGACTTAATTTATGGAATAAATCTATCTCATATTTGGTCTTCCTCTCCTCTTCCTCCTAGCATGATTCTCTCCTTCAGTTGGAGGCTTGCCTTCAGCTTCAGTTTTGCCATTTTAAGTTCTGCCTTGATTTAATCTAGAACCCACTTGTTCACTTTCATCAGGAGTCTTTTCAATTTGCCATTGCTTTCTGCTTAATTTGCCTTTCTTAAGTTATTGATGTATCTTCCACCAATTTTCATTCCTGCTTCCTCTGACCCTACTCCAACTCTAATCCTAATCCAACACCCCTTTCTGAGGTTGCTTTCCTTACCTCAGAGAGCAGCTGGTACAGTTCTTGCCTGCAAAGTGAGGGAATTCAAGGTCTGATTCTCAGCTCAGAGATCAGAGTGGTGTCTCTGATCTTGGATCTAAGAACCTGGACTTCCTGTGGCTGCCAAACCTTTGTCTGGGAGCACAGGACTGCAGCCTAATTAGTTTTCAATAGCAGAACCCTATTGAGTACATTGCCCTTTCACATGAGAATTCCTGCTACCTTACATTCTCTTCTTTCAGCAATCAAACTTAACTGGAAAATGTCACTATGTTACTATTGCTAAAAACTGAAGAGTTAGAAACCCATACGGATCTATTGCAAATTTACTAGTAGAGATAAAAATATCTATGATGTTGCATGCCGCTACACTTGTGTAAAAGCAAAATTCTTTTAACTGAATAGTTATGAGTTTAAGGGAATAATCCTATATGTGTTAGGATAGATAAGTGTTACACCTCTTGGTGTATGCAGCTGGACTGTTTCTGTTTAAGCATGCATAGGACTGTGCTCTGAAGGTTCAATCCTATACATGTTTAGACAGAAGTCTTACCTAGCATTCCCCAGCCAGCTTGGCTTTCCTAGTTCTTACCCTTTACATTCTGGTTAAAAGTTATGTAAATGAAATAACATTTCAACAGAATTAAGGGATTCTGTTAAGCTTTAATGAAATACATACAGGGCAAGCATAATATTAGCTTAATGTAGCATTTACTCATTTATTTTAAACAAGGTGCATAAATATGTATTTGAGAGTAGATTTTTCAGAGGGGTTTTGGTTAATCATACAAGTTTATGCTGTGAAATTGTGTCTTTTCAGTAACATTCATTTAATGTATTCTGTTTATTTTTATTAGATTATTAATGCAGATATGTTAATTCAGAAATAAGTCTCAGTTAATTCAGTGAGTTTAGGGTTAGGCCCCAAATTTTTAAGTAATTGTCAAATTCTGCATAAACAGGCCAAACAGATTTGAAAAAGCAAACCAGCAAGAATTATTAAGACTATGGCATGCAAGGCAAAACTGTTTATACACGTGTATAGAGTGAACTCCAGGGTACAACCCCAATCAATAACAGAACACTGCTTTTATAGTTTGCATTACTATAGACATACTTTCTCATGGGAATACCCTTCTTGGTTCTGTCATACCCCTTGGCATGTCTTCCCTGTATTCACACGTTTATCTTAGATTGCCTTTGAAAGGATAGAGCTTGAAGCCTCATGCTTAGCCCGTTTGAATCCTTGTTTTACTTCTTGCATAGTATTACAATGCCTATTTGTAATTATGTTGTATCTAACTCAATTCTCTGATTCTGTATGTTCCTACACCATTATTTTCATGTGTCAGCTTCTCTGCTAAGCATGAAAAACTAGGAAAGGTTCATTTATGATTTTCTCTCACAATATCAAAGTATTTTACAGTGCAACCCTACACATTACCTACTCAAATAAATACGACCCAGTGAGTTCTGTTGCACTTACTCCCAGGCAAGTGTGTGTATGGTTGCAGTCTGAAAAGCCCACAAGAACTTCCCGCCCTCTCCCATCCTCACAAGTGGCAACAACTTTGCCAGAAAATGCTAGATAAAAGGGCCTTCCATAGGCTCCTGAAAAAGGCTGCATGAGAATAATAATTTCCCTTCGAAATAATAAAATAATAGGCCTTTGGACAGCACTTTCGGTAGTCTCGTGCATCTAAGTCAACCGTAACCCGTCAATTGCGAGTTTTGAAAGGCGTCCTGTGCTTCGACACAAGCCGACCTCTACCGATCCTCTCATCTCACCATCATGCAAAGCCCTGCCCTCGTCTCGACAGCCGCGCAGAAACTATCTTGCCCTTTAACGAACGGCTGCTCCTAACCGCGACCGCGAAGGGCCGTCCACGCGCCCCGCCCCCCTTCGCGCAGGAACAGGTATGCGTCAGTCCCTCGCGCACGCCTGTGTGCGCGAGCGCCGCTTGAGGTTGTGGGAGATGTAGTTCCTTGCTCAGAGCGGCTCCCTTCTCGCACAAGCAGCTTTCCCCCCTAAGTGGTGACCTCCGGAGGCGTTGGACTACAACTCCCACAATCGGCATGGAGGGCGCCGGTTTGGAGAAGGAGGCCGTAAAGGACGGGAAGGTCAAAACCACGGGGTGGTGATGGGGAGAAGAGGCGCTCAAACAAAGGACAAGCGGCGCAGGCAGATGCGCCACCTGTGTTTGTTACTCTAGCGATGGCAGCTTTGCAAACGGTTAAAGCTTGCAAGCTAGCAATAGCTGTGTTTGGTTGTTATGAACTCATTTGTGTGTTAAAAAGTTAGGCGATTATCCCAGTAGTCGTCAAACCCGTGTGATAGAAACTGCACTCGCCAAATATTGATGTAATGCCCATGGGAAATCTATGACTGCATCCAGAATTTCCCAAAATTATTAAAACCCACGGAACTAAATCAGGGACAGACTGCATAACCCACTTTCACTGGAAGCGCTCAGCAGCGGAGCATATTAGTGAGATGACTGCCTGTGAGCATGTGCAGAGAGCATCTAAATTAAAATACTGCGTTGTGACTTTGAAACTAAACCTTAGCAAGCTGCCGCTATTAGGCAATGCCTACGAAACTTCCCGGTTGGAGCGTCAGATAAATGAATGACCGTTCTATTATATCTTCGTAGGTAACAAAAAATGGCTTTCCGTAACTCTCTTGCTAAGCCCTATTATTATTTTAGTACCTTTCAAACTTGAAAACCCATTTGCTGAAGAATGGTTAAGTTTTAAATTTAAGAAGGTTTATCTCATGAGCATCTATCTATTGTGCTACGTAACAAACACTGTCTATAAACTATCAAATTCTGGTTTACATTCCTATCAAGCTGGCAGCTTATTTAATATTCAATGGGTTGCTTATATAGAATCAGCAGGGTTGTTTGTTTGGCAAGAAATAAAGAACAAAATTTGTAAGACAAACACATGCTTTTTTTCCTTGCTTTGTGTCAGCTGGATTGTACAATACAATTAATGCAAAAATCTTCCTCCTATGTGATTGGTCACAAGGAAATGGAATTTCAGGCAGTGATCAGGACGGAAGCATTGCTCAGCTAGCAGCTAAGCCATTCCTTTTTCTTCACCAAATGCTAGCACATCCTATATGTACTACAAATAATTATTCCTGGCACATATTCTGCATGTTTCTGAGTAAACATGTATATGATTGCACTGATTGCAGTGTTAATCAGTTGAGAAAATTCTTTTTAGTACTGCTGTTTACAATTTAGAAGAAATATTCCTGAAACTTCAGAACAGTTTGGGGTCACTTAGAAACATTTGGTAAGTTATGTTTACATTTGTTATCCTAGTTGAGGCTTTTCATGAAGTAAAATATCTGCATTTTTGAATGAATGAAGGATGTCTAGTCTCTAAAATGTATATTTATTGTAGTGTAAAAGAATGTACTGAATAAGGCATAATGCATGTAGATAAATGAAAATACTGAAAATTACAAATAATGTTTACATATGAGTTGGGTCACAATGCTATTTTGTTTTGAATCAATGGAAAGCTTTAGATTGTTTTCTGCCAAAGTCTTGGGGATGCTATGGAGAAATACTATTGAATGAAAATCAGTGGATATCACAAAGGGCAAAGACTTAATGTTATTGCTGCATGTTTTGAACAGGCAGTAGGGTGGAGAAATAGGGAAATTGTCTTGGATGTTGTCAGGTTAGGGACACAAAGCAGGTATTTTTCGTGGGAAATGTGGCGGTCACAAGACTCTTTTCTGTTGAAACTTACATAGAATTGAGCAACTAGTCACTGGATCCAATAGTGCACAGAAATCAAAGACTGGACAGCAGCAGTTGTCCTGTTTTTTGCACAACAGCTTCTAATCAGGAGTGTCCATCTCAGCAGTTCTTAGAAAATGCAGGATTGAGATCTCAGCATGGCAGCAGCTTTTTGAGGCAGGTCAGGAAACTTTGATTGCTTTGTGCAAGCTATGGATAGGTCTCAGTAAAACAGTTTACTAACACCAGACAGTAATACGTACATTGTCATCCACATGGTAATACCAAGAGCCCACATGGATGTTGTTAGGCATTTGTCGGACATGTTTGGTTCTACACAGAATTCTTAGATTTGCAAAAGAAAAATTACATGAGACCCCAAATTGGTACTGATACAACAAAGGGACCCCCCAGGTATTCCACTGTTCAGTCAAGTTATTCCTTTGGGTGCAGTCATGAACTATGAATTGTGTTGTGTTGTGTATCTTTCTGTGGTGAGAGGGTGGCTTCTTTGAGACAAGATGTCACATAGTGATTAGTATGTTAGAATATAGGAATAGGACCAAAGATCCAGATTCAAATTTTCACTCAACCACAAAAGGTCATCAGATACCATAGGACAGTCAGTCTCTTTTGCTGTTAGTCGCGAAGTTGTGTCCAGCCCATCAGGACCCCATGGACAACATTCCGCCTTCTTGTCCTCCACCATCCCCCGGAATCCACCCAAGCTCACATCAACTGCCCCAGTGACTCCATCCAGCCACCTCATCCTCTGCCGTCCCCTTCTTCTTTTGCCATCTATTGTTCCCAACATTAGACTCTTCTCCAGGGAGTCCTTCCTTCTCATTAGGTGGCCAAAGTAGTTGAGTTTCATCTTCAGTATCTGGCCTTCTACAGAGCAGTCAGGGTTGATCTCCTCTAGGACTGACCGGTTTGATTGCCTTGCGGTCCAAGAGACTTGCAGGAGTCTCCTCTAGCACCACAATTCAAAGGCCTCAATCCTTTTGCACTTAGCCTTCCCTTTGGTCCAGCGTTCACAGCCATACATTGCAACTGGGAAAACCATAGCCTTGACTATATGCACTTTTGTTGGCAGGGTGATGTCTCTGCTTTTTAGTATGCTGTCTAGATTTGCCATAGGTTTCCTCCCCAGGAGCAAGCATCTTTTAATTTCTTGGCTGCAGTCCCCATCTGTGGTGATCTTGGAGCCCAGGAAAATAAAATCTGTCACTACCTCCATTTCTTCCCCACCTTTTTTCAGGAAATGAGAGGACTGGATGCCGTTATCTTAGTTTTCTTAATGTTGAGTTTCAAGCCAACTTTTGCTCTTTCCTCCTTCACCCGCATGAAGAATCTCTTTAGTTCCTCTTCACTTTCTGCCATGAGAGTGGTATCATCTGCATATCTGAGGTTGTTGATATTTCTCCCAGCAATCTTAATTCCAACTGGTGATTCATCTAGCCCCGCCTTTCTCATGATGTGCTCTGCATATAAGTTAAATAGGCAGGGCGACAGTATACAGCCTTGCCAAACTCCTTTCTCTATTTTGAACCAATCAGTGGTTCTGTGTCCAGTTCTCACTGTTGCTTCTTGACCTGTGTATAGGTTTCTCAAGAGACAAATAAGATGGTCAGGTACTCCCATCTCTTTAAGAACTTGCCACAATTTGTTGTGATCCACACAATCAAAGGCTTTAGCATAGTAAGTGAAGCAGAAGTAGATGTTTTTCTGGAACTCCCTAGCTTTCTCCATGATCCAGCATACGTTGGCAATTTGATCTCTAGTTCCTCTCCCTCTTCGAAATCCTGCCTGTACTTCTGGTAGTTCTTGGTCCACATACTGCTGGAGCCTGCCTTGTAGAATTTTGAGCATAATTTTGCTAGCATGTGAAATGAGTGCAATGGTGCGGTAGTTTGAACATTCTTTGGCATTGCCCTTCTTTGGGATTGGAATGTAAACTGACCTTTTCCAATCCTGTGGCCACTGTCGAATTTTCCAAATTTGCTGGCATATTGAGTGTAGCACTTTTACTGCATCGTCTTTTAGGATTTTGAATAGCTCAGCTGGAATACTGTCACCTCCAGTAGCTTTGTTGTTGCTCAGACTTCCTAAGGCCCATTTGACTTCACATTCCAGGATGTCTGGCTCGAAGTCAGTGACCACCCCATCGTGGTTGTCAGGGACATTAAGCTCTTTCTTGTATAGTTCTTCTGTGTAATCTTGCCACTTCTTCTTAATCTCTTCTGCCTCTGTTATGTCCCTGCCATTTTGGTCCTTTATCATGCCTATCTTTGCATGAAACGTACCTTTCATATCTCCAATTTTCTTGAAGAGATCTCTGGTCCTTCCTATTCTATTGTTTTCTTCTATTTCTTTGCACTGTTCATTTAAGAAGGCATTCTTATCTATTCTAGCTGTTCTCTGGAATTCTGCATTCAATTGTTTGTATCTTTCTCTTTCTCCCTTGCCTTTCGCTTCCCTTCTTTCCTCAGCTCTTTGTAAAGCTTCCTCAGACAGCCATTTTGCTTTCTTGCATTTCTTTTTCTTTGGAATGGTTTTAGTTGCTGCCTCTTGTACAATGTTGTGAACCTCCGTCCATAGTTCTTCAGGCACTCTGTCTATCAGATCTTATTCCTTAAATCTGTTTGTCACCTCTACTGTATATT